AATCCACTGTCCAAGGAGCAAAGTGATGAAAAAAATAAAGAAGAAATTAAAAAGAAAACAAAAAACAGACTAATAATAAAGAAAGAAGATGAGAAACAGGCAATTCTCAAATCTTAACAACATAGGAACATTAGAAATGTCATGACAACAGAAAATCAAGGAGAGCAGGTCCAGAAGATGCACTAACGCGTGCCTAGCACATCCTCTCACACACAGCCATGAAGCATGACAAGAAACTGTGATTTCCTTTTCTCTTAATTTTTCCTTTTTTTTTTTTAAACTTGCGCTGAGAGCAATTCTATTTGATGGCACAACAAGGAATGATTAAAAAAATTCACCATTGTTTTGAAAAACAAAAGTACCACCAACAACCTTCAAGAGCAAAATGAAGTAGAAGATGAGTAAATACATTATTTGCTATACAATCTGATGCAAAGAAAATTTGAAGGGGAGAACTAATAAAGGGCAGAGCTATCTATCTGCTTGATCTTTGTTCATTGGCTTCATCATCTTCTTCTGTTGACTAAAACAGGCAATAGCATTTTCTTCTTAGACTATTTAAAATAACAATGCATTTTTTACACTCATACACAGTGAAAGGAGAGAGCCAGTCCATTTCATATAACCTTTTTCTTTCTTTTGCAGACTATGCCCAAGTGTTGCATATTCATTACTACATCAAAAACACTTCGCCTGAGGTCTGTATTTCCTGATGTGCTGTAATGGGTTCAGGACCCCAGCTGTCTGCCAGGAGATTTAGAGCACTGATATTTAATAGTAAATTATAAGGTAGAATAATTCATTCTACATTTTCTTGCTGAAGTAGCGTATTTATAATGGTATACTTTAGAGCCACTAAACAAAGATGAGGAGAACACATCATTTCTGTTTGCACAACATAGTCTCCTGGTTACTGTGGCCTGCCCTTAGCCACTTATATTTATAGATGCCAGGCTCTGTTCTTAACCCATTGGCAGATCTCACTTAAGTCACATCTCCCACTATCTCCCAGTAATACAGAGGAACAAACTGCAATATATTCCCAGCATGTTTATGGAAGCGAATTTTCAGCACACTTTACTAACTTCACTAACTAAAGCTTTGACAAGTTTTAAATAGAAGCAGAACAACTAACAATACCGGGATGCTCTATAGTTAGTAATTCTTCAAAGTTTGCTGCTGAAATCCCACCACACCATTTCAGGGAAAATGGCTTCAAGCACAAACCCTGCCATCATCTGATAAAACACCTATAGACCCATGTTCTGATACCTCTGGGTTCTCTAATGACAGTCTACTGCACATACAGCATCAGCTCAGGACTAAGAAACTTTTAAACTATATCAGCATTCTGGTAGGAAACAACAGACTAACTTGTTTTGCTCCAAGTAATGCCAGATGTGTTTAAAAGTCACGGATAAAACCAAGTGCAAAACCTGCATAGTGAATTAAAACAAGTAAGAGCATAAACTCCAATAGATGCAAAATCACATGCTCTGTAAGCTGGTAGGGAGCACCTTTATTAGAAGAGTTCCTGCTAATTCTTCTTCTTCAAATCCATCTTTGTGCTTCCCCACTTAAGTTACACAAGGATGCACCTCATCAGAGTTACCGTGTGGGTGTAAAATGTGATGTTAAAAAAAAATAAATCACAGAATGGCCTGGGTTGAAAAGGACCTTAAAAATCATCTAGTTTCAACCCCCCTGCTGTGGGCAGGGTTGCCAATCACTAGACCAGGTTGCCCTGAGCCACATCCAGCCTTGCCTTAATGCCTCCGAGGATGGGGCATCCACAACCTCTCTGGACAACCTGTTTCAAGTGCGTCACCACCCTTTGAGTGGGAGAACTTCCTCCTAATATCTAACCTAAATCTCTCATCTCAGTTTAAATCCACTCCCCCTTGCCCTATCACTATTGAGCCTTGTAAACAGCTGTTCCCCCTCCTGTTTATACACTCCCCCAAGTACTGGAAGGCCACAATGAGGTCTCCTCAGAGCCTTCTCCTCTCCAAGCTAAACAAGCCCAGTTCCCTCAACCTTTCTTCATAGGAGAAGTGCTCCAGCCCTCTGATCATCTTAGTGGTCCTCCTTTGGATTTGTTCCAAGAGCTTTGCATATTTCTTATGCTGGGGACCTCAGATCTGGATGCAGTACTCCAGATGGGGCCCCACAAGAGCTGAGAAGAGGACGGTCACCTCATTCTCCCTGCTGGCCACCCCTGTTTTAATGCAGCCCAGGATATAGTTGGCCTTCCATGCTATAAGTGCACGTGTTGGCTCATGTCCAGCTTTTCATCCACCAGGATCCCCAAGTCCTTCTCTGCAGGGCTGCTCCAAGGAGCTCTTCCATCAGTCTGTATAAATACCTGGGATTGCCCCAGCTCAAGTTCTACACCTTGTACTTGGCCTTGTTGAACCTTAAGTTCACACGGGCTCACTTCCCCAGCATGTCCAGGTCCTTCTGGATGGCTTCCCTTCCCTCCAATGCATCGACGTACTGCTCATCTTGGTGTCACCTGCAAACTTGCTGAGGGTGCACTTGATGCCATCATCTATGCCATTAATGAAGATGCTGAAGAGCACCAGTCCCAAGACCAACATTTGGGGGACACCAATTGTGATCAGCCTCTACCCAGACACAGAACCATTCATCACAACATGTTGGTGGCAACCAGCCAATTCTTAATCCATGGAACAGTCCATCCTCTCCAATTAAGAGAGAAGGAGATGTTGAGGGACTATGTCAAAGGCTTTGCAGAAGTCCTGGAAGATGACATCTGTCATCCTTCCCTGGTCCATCGATGCCATCACTGCATCATAAAAAGCCACCAGATTGGTCAAGCAAGATTTGCCCTTGGGGAACCCATGCTGACTTTCTCAGATCTCTTCTTAATCTCATACATGTTCTTTAACATGAGGATCTGTTCCATGATCTTCCCAGGCACAGAGGTGAGGTTCACTGGCCTGTAATTCCCCAGGTCCTTTCTCCCCTTTCTTAAAAATGGGAGTAAGTTTACCTTTTTGCAACCACTAGGAATTTCACTGACAGCCATGATTTTTCAAACAGGACGGAAAGCAGCTCTGTAACCATGTCAGCCATCTCTCTCAGAACTCAGCATATCATCTGGCCCCGTAGACTTATATACATTCAGTTTCATGAGGAGGTCTTGGACTTGTTCTACCATCACAGTGGGACAGAATTTGCTCCTCCCCCCCTCTAAGAGGTTCAGGGTCCTGGCAGACATGGAGAGTCTGACCACCAGTGAAGATCAAGACAAAGCACTTACTGAGTAATTCAGCTTTTTCCATTTCTAAGAAAGCTAGTTCCCCATTCTCATTTATCAGAGGGAAACACTCTCCTTGATCTATCTCCTCCTGCCTATGTACCAGTAGAACCCTTTCTTGTTATTTTTCATAGCCAAATTCAGCTCCATCTGCCTTGGCTTTCCTGACCCTATCTCTACACATTGGAACAATGTCCCTGTATTCTTCCCAGGCTACACAACCCTACTTCCACTTCCTGTACATTTCTGTTTCCCCTCAGTTTAAACTGCAGGTCCTTGCTCAGCCATGCAGGTCACCCACCTCCTCTGCTCCATTTCTTCTGCTGAGGGATGGAGAGCTCTTACGCCCACAGAAAGGTGTCCTTAAAGAGCTGCCAGCTCTGTTTCCTATAACCTTAAAAACAGTTTCACAGGGAATCCCATCCAGCAGTTCCTTGAGCAGCTGTAAGTTTGCTCTCCTGAAGTTCAGAATCCTGATTGCTTATTGCCAGGTCAGCATTCCTCAAGATCACAAACTCCACCAAGGTACAGTCACTACAGCTCAGGCTGTCTCCAATTTTAACCTCTCTAATGCTCTCCTCTGAAGCATTGGCAAGCTCTAGTTCTAGTAAGGCTTCACATCAGGTTGGTTCATCTAATACCTGGATCAGGAAGTTATTATCCTCAGGAAGTTGTTATCCAGGAATCTCCTGGATCATTTGCCACCCACCATGCCACTATCCCAGCATATATCCAGGTGGTTGAAATCCCCCATCAGGACAAGAGCCTGCAAGCACAACACTTCTTGCAGTTGAAGCAAGAAGGCCTCATCAACAGGCTACCTCAATCAGGTGGCTCGTAGTAGACCTCAACACCAAGTGTCCTTTACTAGACCAATCCTTGATTTTAACCCATAAGCTTTCAACCTGGTTATGACTGTTTCTCAAACAACTCTTCACAATCCATCCGCTCACTAACACAGAGGGCATCTCCCCCTCCCCTCTTCCCCACCTATCCTTTCTGAAGGGCCCATAGCCAATCACAGCACTCCAGTCATAAGATTCATTCCACCATGTTTCCATGATAGCACTTAGGTCATACTTTTCCAGTTGCACCACAGTTTGCAACTCCTCCTGTTTGTTTTTTGACAGTGCCTCACTTCCTTCTGCACAACCAGTCCAGTGACAGAGAAATGCTTATAAGGCAAAAGAAATAACTGCACTTAAAGAAAACATTTGCTTTTATTTTCAAGACATCAGCATTACAACTTTTATCCAAGTAAGAGAGTCAGCTCAAGGACCACCCAAAAGAAATACCTGCAAATAGGCAACAGATGACAGATCACCTCTGATTAACACTACTGTTTTCCTTCACACAAAATACACAGTCAGCAATGGCTTTCTGCCTCCTCTCCTAACAGAGAAGAGGTTTCACTCTTTCCAGCATAAATTCACCCAAACATTAAGTAATGCAACCAGAAAAGACCCCATATCAAATTACACCGGATCCTCAAAGCTCACACTGAAGAGAGGCACTGATACTTCAGCGAGCATGTGCCCACTGACACCTCAAAGCCCATAATCACATGCCTCTGGGCTGTTCTTGAAATAGAGCTGGAGGAAAACTCTCAATGTTTGTGTGTCAGTGATCGTATCTTTGACAGCTGGGTCCTTCTTCATGGCCTCCATCCAGTGTTGGAGTTTTGGAGTATGAGTCAAAACACTACGGAAAAAAGAAAGAGTCTGAATAACACAAGCAGGAAATCAGGAGGTCATCGAGGAAGGAAAACAGCTTTAGAAGTTCTGTTTTACTACTGGTTTTGCTTTCTCTCTCGCAGTGAGACAGTCAGCCCAGAGCAAGTGACAAATATGTAACGGATCATAGAAAGCAGATTGACATTTGGAAAGCAAGGCAGTTCTTTCAGTTTGCTCACTCTGCAAAGCTGACAAAGAAAAAGAGCAGTTATTGTGCAAGATATCAGTGACTTTCTTCTTGTGTTATTCCTACTACAAAAGAGACCCTGTTCATATCTGTGATCTGCTCTGAGTTGAGGACAGAGGCTTGCACACCTCTGCCTCCCTCTTGAGCACTTTGTTAGTGGCAATTCTTTAATAAACACCCCTTCACAACTCACAAGCTTCTCCCCTCTCTATAGAAGACTGAGATACACTGTGTAGCTTCTTTTAGTCTGCAACTCAGCAACTCAAAATGCAGACAGTCTATTGAGGAAAAAAGATTCAGACAACAAAATCCACAAATCCACTTGAACGCAATTAAGTAGTACATGACAAACTGAAAGCTTAACAGTACAAACTTTCTTTTTGTTCTCTCCTGGTATGCTGACTTGAGGTATTCTGCATTCCAGTCTCCAAATCCCAAGTTTAGTTAATGTACAATTTTCCTAGGTAGCTCTTAACTCTTATTCATAAAGCATCTTAACACACAGTGGTCCAGATACTTGATCATTCAAGTACCTTGGTAACTCTAGGCCTCTGGTCCTGTATAGCTTGTAACATTGCCCCTCCCAGTCAAGGATCACACAAAACAAAACCACACAAACCAGAGCAGCAGCCCATCAACGATGTCCTCATCTTACAGTAGTTTTAATTCACTTGCAGGATTCCTTGCATCTTCCTCAATCTTCTAGAACAATTTAGTCACCAAGACACCAACTATTCTATACTCATTCTCCTAGTTCCAGATGGGATAGAATTAGTTTTCCTAGCTGGTATGGTGCTGTACTTCAGATTTAGATTTTGATGTTTCAGTTGTTGCTTACCAGTGCTTACACTAAGGACTTTTCAGCTTCTCATACTGTTCTGACAGTGAAGAGACTGGGGATAGGACCCAGATCCAAAGTGGCCAAAGGATATTCCTCACCATGACAGTATGCTGAGCAATAAAACAGGAATTGGCCAGGAGGGCCACTGCTGCCCAGGGACTGGTTGGACATTGGTTGGTGGGAGGCAAGCAATTCTTTTGTGCATCACTTGCTCTGTTTATTCTTTTCATTCTTTTGCTGTTGTTTTTCTTTCCCTTTTTAATCTCCTATTAAACTGTCTTCGTCTCAATACATGAATTCTTGCACTTTTCAATTTTCTTCTCCATCCCCCTGAGCAAGAAAGTGTCTGCATGGTGTTTAGCTGTCTACAACATTAAAACAACACTCATTTTTCCATTTTATCACCCATGTCCTCATACAAGCCGACTCTTTGGCCCCATGTTAAACAAGCTATAAAACAGTTCTCCACTGACACCAGTCTCCTATATTTATGTATTAAAAAATCCATTACAAAAGGGACTAATCTTCTACCTATAGCAAAGCAGGACACATTTTATTCTTCACAAAACAAAACCAGTCTCCCTTCTCAGCACAGGATTTCTGAAGAAGATATTCCACTTCAAGTCTAAGGTTTTCAATTAGCAAATTCAAACCTTGTCTTCCATGCCTGTAATTTCTTTCAATAAAGGTCATTTTCCTGTAGGAATGGAAATAAAGTCCTGTATTTTGACCACTACTTCCAGATCTGTCAAAGTTTTTTAGGAAAACAGATCTGGTGAAAGGAAGCATTTTTTCCATAAGATCCCTACCTTGGTTTAGGATGTTCACCCCACCCCAAAACTGTAAGGAAGCTCACAGTTTCTTCAGCCAACCTTGAAAGCAGCCCTTTGCTGCAGCGTATATTCAAATACACAAAAATATACAGCAGCACTTCAGTAACATGCTAGAAGCCAGACAAGGTACTCACTCCTTCAACTGGAATGCTTCCAGGCGTTCAAACCAGGGCCAGATCATGTAGTCAATCAGGGAGCTGGAGTCCCCACCATAAAACACAGTGTTGCGCTGAGAGAGGATCTGTGAGGGACAAGATATAACAATTATCCTCAGAAGGAAGATTTTCACATCAGGAGACTACAGTAACAAAAAGCCACTGAGAGATGGAATGCAGGCATCCTGAAGGAATCTGACAGGAAATAATGCAAAATAATCCATGTACAGCACATTTCCCTTAATGCATGCAATATATGGGGAATCTGGAACTGGTAAGCAGTGCAACTGTGGTATCAAATTTAACTACTTCATACACTGTCAGTCCACTTCTTCTCCACGACTGGTTCAAAAACTGTCACAAAAATATTAATCATTAGGGATCTATAGCTTCTGCAGAAACAAAAAGGAATTTATCTCACAGAATTTGTTATTTAGTGATTTCTGACCTGCAAATAAGCAACAATGGCTGAAATGAATCAAATATGCACATATTTCTAGAACAAAGCCAGGTAAACAACACCCAGGTGAAGTAGAAGACAGTTTTAGTAGGGTCTCCTTTACCTGTGGCACTTCAGTCCAGATGGTGTCAGGAAAATATTCTTAACATTGCATCTAGAACTGGATTTGATTTCAGACACAGGAGGAAGATAACATTCACATGCAACAGAAAGAGACCTCCACAGCTCAGCACATAAAGTAGCAGGACCACAGAAAAGTGTATTTGCACATTCTCCTTATTATACTTAATGCTTCTGTTATGTTTCAAGCGCCATACTGATCCAAGCTTAAGACTTTGAGGACTTTCCAGACCCAAGCTTACTCTTTAGAAGACTAGTCCCTGTTTTTAGGGGCTTTGGCATTTTTTAAATGAAACTCCTACGGAATTTACAGCCTGCCTCCCAGTCCCCATAATCTAATAGAAACTTTAAAGCTGTCCCTCCAAAAACACCTCATGCTGCTTAAATCATCAGGTGTCTAACAGAATGCAACCTGACAGTAGCACAGTTCCAGAGATAGAAACATAGCTCCCTCTATTGGGTAACAGCAAACACAATGCAACAATGTTTAAAGACACGCCTTCTTGATTATTGCTCTACACAGCACAGCTTAGCAGTACCTATAAACACTGGTGTGTTATCAACGTTATTTTTCTCCTAGAACCAAACCATGCATCATATCAGGCACTCTGAAGAAAAAAATCCATTCCAGCTGAAACTAAGACATTGGACTGAGCAATGTTAGTTCAGCTCTGCCCCTTCCTTCCATCCTCAGTCAACCTACAGTTGCAAAATTCATCAGGGTACACTAAAATAGAGACACCAAAGGAGTAACAAGTACTTCACAGGATTAATAAAGTAGAAGGAAGCTTAATTCCTTATTAATGTTCTATCAGTTCGTATTTCAGGGCAGAGAAATACACTTGTTTCTCCCAAGAACTGAAGTATCAGCTGCACTACTCAAACTGTCTATCAGCCTGATAGACAGATGAGAATTCTTGAAAGCAATTTTACTTTGGCTGTTTAAGGGAGCAGGGAAACAGAATGCATAGGAAAGTATCAGAAAGCTTTTGCAATTGATGAATGTACAGATGTTACAGTTATGAGATGTACCAGAGAGTTTGGCCATGCAGTTATTACAACAAAGCAAAAAAAGATAGGATGCTTGCCTGTATCCTGGGCTCGCTTATGAAACTCCAGCAGAGTGGATCTCCAGAAGAGATCCTTCCCCACTGGTAGTCAGCTCTTAAATGGGTCTAGGAGAGGTGGAGCCAGGCTCCACGCCTTCTGGCAGCACAGGTGAATTGCTTTGCACCAGAAGAGACATGCTGAAACATCAGTTCTTGCTCAAGCCAAATAAGCATTAGCTGACACAGTTAAAAATGTACAAGGAATGGATTTGTGATAAGGACAAGTCCAGCAGCTTTTCAGGCTATCCAAGAACCACTAAATAAGGATTGTGAAGTTCCTAACACGAAAAAGCCACCTGATACTTCCTGGAGCTCAGCTGAAGTCACATTACACCACTGTAGCAGAACATAGCCCAGGGCTGGATTTCTGCAAAGGACAGATTATACTCAGTGGTGCTGTTGTTCATCCCAGGCCAAGGGGAATGAATTGAAAGATTGTTCATTGCTATAGCTATCACATGAATGAGAAAAGATCTAGCTCCAAGTAACAAAGCATGAGAGGGGAAAACAAACAAACAAAAAACAAACAAACAACCATACCAAAAACCAGGGTTGTAGTTAAGGATCACATAACTGCCAGGTTGCTTGCTATCATGAAATGCTCTTACCTCATCAAGTTTGGCAAACTTTTCAGCTAATTCTGCTTTCAGCGTTGTGAGATCATCTCCTTCTTTGAGTGCCTTGGAAATTACAGTTGTTATCTGTAAAAAGGAGAAAGTTTTCAAAATACCTCTTACAGCAAAGCAAATCACTTGGAGTTTAAGATGCTGAGATATTTTGAAAAAGCTAAAATCCATTAATAAAATTCTTTTATACTTCCAAAAAGGGAGATAAAGGTTTAAAAGAAGATCAAATGCAAGTAATGGATTTTAGTCTTGCAGTAAGACAACAATGAAAAGAGGAGCATGTTTCCAGTTGGCCCACATCCAGTAAAGTGGTAGAGTGCAAAGCAATACTCTTTTCCTGGGTACACGCTCCTGAAAACCAAATGCACTTTAATTATCAAAATTAAGGGTACTTTTAAGAGAAAAATATGCAGCACAAGATATGCAGGCTTCTACAGACCTGTGGCAATCATGAAATGTGCAGAAATTAGTAGACAGTGCAAAATGCTGCCTAGTGGTCAAGCTCACCTATATTCTTCAAAGTTTGTATACATTTTCTAAGATCTTGCGATTCATACAAATAACATTCACAGCTCATTTCTTCCAAGATGCTCTACCTGTAGTCCTTTTCCCATTACACCTTTTCAGAAAGACCTGATGTAAACAAATTTCCCCTCCCTTCGGCCTTTTATAGTTCTCCTTCATTCACATTTCTCTTTGCATCTTCCATTGCTCTTCCTCTTCTCCTGCTTCATACCCAAGCTGACTTCTTTTGTTTTATAGACCCTTCAAAGTACACGCTTGTACTATCTACGTACAGAGCATAAGAAGCTTACTTCTAGTCAGCCACAATGCCAGCCTCCACCCCATACTGAAAACCAAAACTATTCTCCTTATGCTAGTCCAGCTATCTCCTGGCCTTGGTTGCAGGCTCTTTCAGTCAGGCACTCTTCACATTCCATGTTTATACAGCTCTAGTACCTCCTACAGGGAGACTCATTAACATACAGCAACTGTCTCTGCCTAGATTTCAAGCATTCAGCTAGTTTGGCCTATTAATGTTTCCTCTGTTGTAGGATGCTCAAAATCCTGCCTCAGACATACACACCATAACCAGCTTAGCTGTCTTCCTGAATCCATGCCCTCACATGAATTCTGGATGCAATTCAGATGCAGAGTGATTTATATGAGCTAATAGTAAGAAACTCCAAATTTCTCTGGTTATTTAAATGGTTTCCCTACACATGACCTCTCCTCTCAAGTGGTGAAAGCAGCATTGGCAATACAGCTGTGGATTTTGAAGCTCTAGTAAATTAAGAAGCACAATCCTACCATGATCACACAGTACCTTGGAGAAGCGTTCCAGAAGCATCTTCTGAAAGGCTCGCTCATATGGGTCTGAAGGCATCAGCTTCCTCCCTGGAAATGCTTCATCCAAATACTCACAAGTGATTGGGGACTCATAGATTAACTGGCCCTTGCTGGTCTCAAGAATAGGAATCAGCCCAGAAGGGTTCTTCTCAAAGAGCCAGTCTGGTTTGTTCTTCAGATTGATGTTAATTACTTCATGCCTAAAAGAATGAAGGAAACAAGACCCAGAGAGGTTCATCTCCATTGTCGTCTACTCCACAAGCAATCATAACACTTCAACAGTTACAGTACTTAAGAAGCTATTCTCTTGCTCCCCCTCATCTTCCCTGAAATTCTTTCTGGGATTAACCATTTGACACTTAGAAATACTGCCAGGAAGCACTTCTTTTCACTAGAGAAAAACAGTGCTGACTTACAGTGACTTGGCTATTACGCTAATAAAACACAAAAGCAGCCTGTGAGCAGCAGCCCTACCAGTCACGCTAATAACAAAGGTCAACAGCACATGCTTATCATATGATAACTCAGGGGCATTCAAAGAGGAACTTGATTGCAAGGAAGCTATTGCTGAATTCAGAACCACTTTAATCTGACTTTACATCAAAGATCAAACCATAACAACATTCAGACTGCTCACCTTTAATTCCTATCGCCTTACATAGGAAAGATATGCAGGCTAAAAGCCAAACAGATACCGAATTTAAAAAAAAAATACTGGAAATTTGTCTATTAGCAGAGTATCAGTTACTTTCAAGCAGGACCCCAGAAAACTCCCAGCAAACCTGAAGACTTACTAAACACAGCTAGACATTCAAAGCAAACAGATGCCTACTAGAAGACACTTACACCTTCAGCAGCAATAAAAAAGATTCCCAGATCATTACACTAGAACAAGTTTCCCAGAGAGATAAGAAGATTTCACAGAAACAAGGCACTTCTCCCGTTTAAGATGATCACTTGCTTACTGCTCCATATTATAAGTGGCAGCATAAACACACACTCACTATTCCTACCTTTTAGCATCTCTGCCACAGCTTACACAGAAAGCAAACAACGTGCTGTCAGGCTCCAGTCACGTATTCAGAACAGGGTCAAATGCCGTGACTGCAAAGCGGCGATAAGGGAAAAAAGCCTCACCTGATGCCCTTGGCACGGAGAACGAGGCGCGTCCTCTGGGCGAAGGGGCAGAAGCGCATGCTGTACAGCCGGATCACCCCGTCGGGCACCGGCCCCGGCGCCGCGCTGCCTGAAGAGAAAACAAAGCCGACCGTTACAGCTGCGAGCCGCGCCTCGGCGCGAGCCGCCCGCCCAGCTGGTGCTTACCTTTGCCCAGGCTGCGAGAATGATCGCCCGCCATGCCGCCGTACCGCTCAAACCGTGCGCTGTACCGCAACGCGCGGCACTTAACGACGACGCCGGCCCCGCCCCGGGGCGGCCTTTGGATGGGCGGGAACCGCGGCTGGGCAGCCCGGCTTCCAGCCGAGCTGAGAGGCTCGGCCGTGGCGTCAGGGTTCGGTTTGCGCTTTACTTCTTTCACAGAGTACCTAAGCTGACCGATGGGCCCCGAAGTGAAACATCTCCATTCCAGGGGCTCCCCAGAGCTGTGCCTTATGTGGAAATGGCATTTCATAGGCAGCAGCCCCAGCTGAAGGGAGGGACAGCCCCTGCCCTCCTGCTGATGGGCAAATCTCTCACAGATCCTTCGGGGCTGGCAGAGAACGTGGAATTTCCTGAGACTCATTCGCGTTCCCACAGTGGGAAAGCGGGGCCTGCTGGTGATTTTTAGTTTGGTCCAGTCACAAAGAGCTGCATTTCTGATGCAATCCCTCCTGCTGGCAAACACTGCCATGGCCACCAGGAAAGCGGCCGCACACCTGCCAGCTCTACGTGCTAGAAAAGAAGAAAGTGATTTTTTGTTGAGTCATTGCTGTTTGGTTATACAACTAATAAGCAATGCAACAGTGGAAGGGTGTGGTAATTTCCTGCACAAGCCTCCCATGCCCCAGGCAAACAGACGCCCTTTATCAACAAGATAATTTCTCCCACCCCTGAGAGAACTGTGTGAGGGATCACAACCTACGGTTAGTATGGATTCAGCAATATTTTGGGTCATTAAAAAAAAAAAAAAGAGGTTGGAATTTCTTATAATGGTTAAAGACTGCATCAGTCAGATAAACTGTGAGCCAGAGAAAGGAAGGTTGAAACCCAAACGTTGCAAGGGCTACCTGCTGCAATAGGCAGATGCCATGAAGCCAGAACCAAAGGGCTGCCTGCTGCAATAGGCAGATACCACAGAGCCAGAACTGCAGGATGGCAGAAGAAAGCTTCCTCGTGCTATCTTGGTTCAACATGGCATAGATCTCCTATGGAGACAGGAGGTATGGTGCAGCGCTGTGTGAATGATTGTTGCCATAGCACAGAGAAGCAATAGCAAAAGTAAGAAGCTGTAACATCTGCTTAGAAAAGGGAAACATGAGATTCTTGTGCTAACTGCTTTAAAAGTACTTGGGGATTCCTACTGTGCTGCAGCACTATAAGCTGTAAACATGCAGATAAACGTTGTAACTGTCCTTCCTCCTCTTTCCAGCTGACATTTGCTCCTCAGCCTTCAAAGCTCCAGCATCACTATCTCAGCAACCCAAGAAGAGCTACCCAGGGTGAGGTACCGCAGTGCAGGAGAAGTGAAGTCATAGGAAAACAGGTACACCTCACCATGGGAAAGGCAGCACGCCATTGGAACAAGAATAGCAATGGCATATCTGGGGCAGGGGTGGCCAGGGCAAGGAACCTGCAGCCTTTTCCCCAAAGCTGACTCAGACAGATCTGCAGCCATGATTACCCAGGTTAAGAAACTCAGAGCAGACAGAATTACCCATAGGTCAGCAATAGAGATAATAGATAATTGCCCAGATCAAAGGTAGAATTACCTTTGGGTCAGGGAGAAGAGCTAGTCATGCTCCAGAGAGGTTTTTTAATTACATGATTATTTAAATCACACAACTGCACACCCCCTATGTACGAACTACATCGCAGTGAGCGCGCTGGCCCTTTAAATCCTCCCCACTCATACTCCCGCGCGCGTTCGTTGGATGGTTCGTTGCTGCAGGTGCGCGAGCCAATCAGCTATCTGCTTTCGTCTTGGCGCGAGGCACCATCTCAGCTAATAGCAGCAGCCGTTCTTGTTTCTAGGAGACAGCGTAACAAGATGGCGGCCGCCGATGAGGAGCGGCGCCGGGGCAGCCCGCAGTTTGGCGCCGAGGCCCTGGGGGACCGCCGCTGCTCCTCAGCTGAGGAAACCACCTTGGAAGTGAGGTGGGGGCCGGCCGACCGGGACAGCCTATGCCTGTCGCGTCTCACAGCCGGAACCCGTCGGTCTCGGCAGGGCGCGTCGTGTCTTCTCGCCTGGCCCCGGTCCCTCACGCTCTAGATTAGCCCTGTGTGGTTGTCGGACAGGAGTGCAGATAAAAGAGGGGTGGTGCTGTGTTCTAGGTTTGTGTTAGTGTGGCGGGTAGAAGGAAGAGAGAGTGAAAGAAGCGTTAAATAGCTGGAACTGAGCTCGTGGTGGATTTGCATTAACCTTGGGTTTTGCTTACCTCCCATAGCAAAGAGGTTCTGAAAGGAGTGTAGGGGTAAGCAACTGACTAGGTTTAAGTTAGAGCCCGATGAGATAATAAGCGGGGCATGACTTGTCTATTCCTGTGTTCCTGTTTTGACACTTGGCATTGTGAGCCTTTGGTCCTGTTCATGGCTGCTTCCTTTTCCTGTTTTACCCAAACCACATCAACCTCTGAACTTTCCATGGTTGCTCTGCACCTCCTATATCACACCATTGTCTCCTGCCATAACTCTTAATGTTTCTGTTATTTTCAGTCCTCAGTCCTCTCAGCATTTTAAACTTGGATGAATTTTTCATAGTAATCTAGGATGTTTAGGCAGGTTTTTTTTGTTTGTTTGTTTTCCTCATAATGGAAGAGATACTTAAGCTTCCTTATCTGGTAAAGTATTTTAGCTGCTTGATCACATTCTATAGCTAGGATGAGACTATCACAATTAGTAGAACTTTAACCTTAATATATGTAACTGTTGAGTCCCAGCCTGAACCACTGATTGAGCACCTGGGGAAAGGACCCGGTCAGGGAGAAGCACAGGTGAAGGCAATTCAGCTGTGTGACCAGAAGGGGTGGAACCTGGCTCCAACTCTCTTAGACCTCATTTAAGGGCTGACTGCCACTGGTGTAGGTTCTCTGGGTGGAGATCCCTCATTTGTGGAGTTTTCCCTGTGAGGTTAGGTCTTCAGAGATAGGTGAGCACTTTTTATCCTGCTGTTTCTTTTGTCATTACGTCTCTTGTATTGTTGTTCCACCATACTGATTGTTATGCTTAAGTGAAAACATATGGAATTTAAAGCAAATTAAGCCCTTTTTTGTGTGAAGCAAAGACAGTTTCTATAGAACAGAAACATCTAAAACTTGCTTTTTTCGTGTTCTAAGTTAGTGTTATTAGTAGGCATATCAAATTTCAAGGAGAGTTCTGAAAATCACTTTGTTGTTGGATGTGGGAGTACTATGTTATGTGTATTCAAAAGTACAGAATTTGGATTAAAGTTGTGATTTTGAATGAAATTTTATTTTTAAATAACTAGTATTTTTTGGTGGTAAACTTCTAAGTAACTGTGGTCCATCTATGTTTTAGCAGCCAGCAAAGTTTATCACTGAAGTAAACAGAAGTAGAAAGTACTTTATTTCTGCTCTGAATTAGCGCTAGAGAAAACTATAGAGCTGATCTCACGGTTGTGTTTATAAAGGTCTGCTTGTGCCGTGGTCATGTATCTAGTGTTTGTGTAAAAGGGGCTGGAAAAGCACTCACCAGCTGATATGTCTGTATCTTGTTGCCATGGCATTCAGTTCATTAGTATGGATAAAAAGTTAGCATGTTACCATCCTCTCTACCTATATTTATTCTTCTTGTATCTAGCAGAAGAGGCCAAGAGTAGAAACTGCTGAGAAAATATCATCAGAAAAGTTATTGCTGGGTATATATACCTTACGAGTAATCATTTAAGAATGTCCTTAACTAGGAGACCCCTGAGGCTGTGGTAACCTGGTAGTTCAACTGCCGATCTCTAATCTTAAGGCTGAATTCTGTTCTGGAAGGAGTATAAAAGTACTGCTTGCAGTTGCAAGGGGCGAAGACCTCTTTCATCCTAATGCTATTCTCTGGAAGAGGGTAGAAGGTAGAAAGAAATTAGAAGAGATGGTACGACAGTGGTGTTGTACACAGAGGATGGTGGTATGCTGGGTAAATGTTGCTATGTTTCTACCAGACTAAGATGTGGCTTAATCAGATATCTTAACTTAGAGTTAAATGCAAGTTCCTGTGATAAGGGGATGCTGGTGTTTGATTACCCATGTACTTTCTCAAAAGTAAAAACTTCTGCAGGCAATTAAGAATTTGCTGACACTGTAGTTTCTTAAGGTGACTGCTCTTCAGTAATTTACTTCACTCCCTGTATAGCACAAACCTGTTTTATGTTCTGTTTCCAGGTTTTTTTTTGAAAAATGTGTGTATGTAACTGTTCTAACACTTGCTTTTTCTTAAGTTGGGTTCAGGGATTCTCAAACAAGAACTTTGGCTTTATCAACAATCAAACTGTCTGCTACTCCTGTGGCAATTACATCCTCTTCTTGAACATTAAAACAAAGAAGACAACAGCACTGCAGTGTCAGACTGGCCAGGTGGGAGCCTTTGCAGTGAACCCCAACTGTGGAGTGCTGGCCTTCTCAGATCGGAAGCTGAATCCTGTCATATATGTCTACAGTTTTCCAGAGCTGAATAAACTTTCAGAGTTGAAAGGTAGTGGTGTGGTAACTGTACTTGTCACCCTTTCATTAAAACAAAACTTTAAGGAGCCTGTTTCTGAGGGAATTTTGTTTCTGTAAGGCTTGAAAAACTGTGATGGGAAACGTTCTAATGACAAGAAGTGCAGAAAGTAATGTAAGATACTTTCTGCTGCACTGTTTTTCATGAGACTCAAGCTAGGCAGGAATATGACAATATACAATTGAACTGTTATAAGGAGAAAACAAATTGAATGAATTTGAATTAATTACAGGAAAGAGCTGTCTGAATAACAAAAAGAAATTGTATTGTGCTAGGCTCCCAAGGGGAGTGCTGAGGTGGTCTGACATGGAGCCATCTGAGCTGTGAGTTATGGTTCTTGTGGTTCAAGTCTGGAGTCTGTGATCTAATGTATGTTTCTGCCTCTTCCGTGTCATTGCCCTCCTTAGTTAATTTGCATACTGTCTCCATGGTTCAGTTTCCTTGCCATTTAAGTGAGGATCACAATGCTTCCTCACCTCATGTAGATGAATGAAATTAACTGCGAGGGATTTCCAGTTAATTGGGGAAAAAAAGCACTTTACAATTCAACGTATTTGTGAAACAAATGGGAAAAAAAAATCCCTAACAGTGATACTTTGAGTGTTTATGTGACTAATCAAAACAATCTTGTGTAAGTGAAGGAATCACAGCAATAAAGAGTATCTTTGGAGAGGTGAAGTGGATATAAGAGAACTGACAGGAGAACTTCAACTCTTGCAGGATACAGTGATGTCTGGAGTAATTAGAGATCACGTTCTTTATTTTTATGTTTTAGGTAACATTCAGTTGGACTACAGCTTACTTGCATTTAGTTTCTTGGGTCCATATCTAGCCAGTTACTCTTCATTTCCAGACTTTGTTCTTTCAGTATGGTAAGAATAAAGTAACTATCTAATACCATTTGTATTTAATAACGTTTTTGTGTGTACTCTTAGCATAAATTAAAGTAACAAATTTAAAAGATAAACTTTCATCTCTTCTTCCTGATGATCATTGTTTGCAAGCTTCTGCCAGGTTTGTTGTTTTTTTCCTACTACTACTAGTTCATGGTCAGAATGGTTGTTACTTTGCTATAGCTGTCTTCTAGCTTCTGAAAAATGTTGTATTTTTGTGTACTTATGAAGTCTGGAGCACCAGCTAATTATCTGTTCTTCCTTGCTAGCTGAGTGCCATGCTATCTGTGGAAAGAAAGTTGCCGGTTAAAAATGGGAAAAGAGTTCTAAACTGTTTTCTACTTTTTTGTCGTCTTAATTACTTGTAATTACCTAGTTCTGTTTTATGGTTGTGCTCAGTGATTACACTACCATGCATCACTGGGTTAGATATTATTCTTATTGTTGCCATGTAGAGAAATATGATATGGTTGAGATGCAGAAAGTACTTGTTTTTAATTGTTCTGTAAACAGTTGCCTCCATGGCCAGCAAGCTTCCACCTACCGTTTAGTCTGGGCACTTTTTCAAAACAAATGGGGAGAGTAGAATAGGAGGAAGTCAATTAAACACAAGTAAGAAATACTCTGTGTAATATCAATGTAATGATCTTCTTATTTCTTGTACAACAACTAGAGAAAAAGCAGAAATTCCTATAACTTCAGAATGTTAGTTAACAGTTGTAGCTACTACTACTGACACCTCCTCATCCCTTACAAGCAGTAATGTTTGCTGTGAGCTCTGTTCATACAGTATACATCTGGAAAGGGGTCTGTATATCACAGTATAAACCAAGAGAGATTCTGCCCTGAGGAGTCTGCATGCTAGTCACCCACAGAAATAGTATATATGGATCAGTGTATTCATTGTATGCACTTAATCAAAAATTCACTATCTTTCAGATTACTGTAGATTGCCCCCAAAATGGAAACATTTTGACTTTTTAAAACGGTTTAAAATAGGGCATTTTCCAAGACCAATGTCAACATTTTTGAATGGGTGCGAAGTTGACTGTCGGCATCTAATTGTCGTAAGAGAACCATCCTCAGTGCCAGTCAGAAATAATTTAGTGACAAAATAGAATGGCTTTGCAATCTTAAACTTAGAATTTATAATAACTTAAACAGAGTTGTATGAATTTACTATGTGATCAGGACACTTCTGCAGTTAGGTTGTGTTGTGCATTCATCACAGATATTTGTACAGATGGAAGAAATCACTGTTTAGCATCATTAATGTGATTGCAATATGATGATTAGACAACTCATGTATATTAAGCATATAGTTTAGAATAAGAAGTATAAGATATGCTTTGACAGTTAACTCAAGTCTTGAAACAGGGAAAGCTTATGGATAACAAAAGCAGCTGCAGCCTTTTGTGTGTGATTTTTATCTCTAGATCTTTTTTCTTTTCTGTTTGAAGGAGAAGCTCCATGCCAGATTCTTTTTCAGATACGTGCTATGCTTTTTTTGGATCTTAATAAATTAAATGCTCTAAGAACATTGGTACTATCTGCTAGATAAAAGATAAAAGCTCTCTGAAGTTATCAGAATGCTCTTCTGTTTCTGTTACAGTCAGAGTTGCAGCTTTTAGCTTTTTGTAGAGTTAATGAGTTAGTGCTTATGTGTGGAAACTACTAATTTTTTTCCATATGCTATCAATTTTAATAATTGTCTTTGCATGCTAATCAGTATCTAAGAGTGAATTTCTTATAATCCAAAACAAGAGGATTGTACTAAATCCATTTACAGCATTATGCATTATAGTTTTCTTCATCTCAGCAGTAATGACAAATACAAAAGCTGTAAATGTTACTTAGATTAACAGTCAGATATGTTGCCTGAGATAATAAGAAACAATTGTAATGATTTTCTTCAAATTTTGTTAATCAATTCTTGGACAGCACCTAAAAATGCAAATGAAGTTGAGAACTAATCTGGATAATGGAGGAATATGCAAATTAGAGCATGAGACTATAAAGTAGGCTACAGCAGATAAAAGAAAACTCAATGGAAAGAGTATTCCCAGGGTAGCACCAGCTAAAATGTAACATCCCAAAATTCTGCACTGTTTTCTTCTCTGGTTAGTTAATGCTGCTGTGTAGCATTCACAATACAAATAGGATGCAACCTAAATAATTCAGTTAGATAATCAAGGGCTGACTGAGTTTTCTAATTATAAGAATTGTAATACCTTCCAACTGCAGCATTATAATAATTACTTTACGGATTAGAAAAGCAAGACTGAGGTCTTGGGTGCTGAAGTGCTTATTGTCTATTCAGTCAGTGACACAAGTAGGAGGCAAATGCATGTCTTCTGCTCTTTTCATAAAAGGAAATGCTTGGTAATGTTTCTAAAATGCCTGTTTTCATAATTAGTTTACTATTCAATCTCTTTGTAGCAGTACTAATTTTATGTGGCTAATTAACCACATTCTTCTAATTCTCAGGAGAACCTGGCTTATTTCACAGCATTGTTTGTTTTTTTGTCAGTAATGTATTTGTTTGCCTACCTTGATCTTGAATGTCAGTCGATCACATCCAAATATTTATCTTGAATGATTTAACTTCTTTAGTGAATTTGATTTTCTTTTACTCTCCTTAATGAAGGAACTGGCAAGAAAATATCCTCCTGTGCAGTGAGTCTCAGCCAGGAGTAGCAGCAACCTCCATGAGTTTTAATCCTATGAACTGGCAACAGCTCTGTTTTGTTACTGAGAGCTCTGTTACTATCTGGCATATTGAAAGAAATCATGACGAGCATTATCTTATACAAAAGTAAGTGAAACACCTTTCAAGTTAAAAGAAAGTTTTGGAAGTATATTTTAATGACTAAGGCTAGCAACCTGTACCTGTCTGCAAAGAATTCAATCCAGTTTAGTCTGCCTAGCAATTATAATCACTAATTGTTAAAGCACAACCAGTGTGAATCTGTCCAATCAGATGAATTGAGTATGTGATTCTGTAGTACTCATCTGTCCCAGTTATATTAGTCAGCATTTTTGGTAGCTATCTCTATTAAGTGCTGCCCTATTGCATTGATACAGTGCCTAGATTGCTCTCCCATTCCTGTAAGTGGTAATGTTGAATACTGAGTGGGAATGTGTATTGCTTTTGTGGCTGTGGAATTACCAAATGTGGATCAAGTTTCTTTCTAGTAAGCACAGTTAAGCAGCATGTAGCTGTAATCACAGATTTTACCAAAAGCAGCATCTGTTTTTGTGTGATTTCCAGCTTGTGTGGCCAATTTACAGAGAGAGTGGCTCTGTCAATACAGTGCACTGAGAACAGCAAATCTAGATGTATTCTGAAATCTTCTTTGAGGCTGATATGAGAACAGGTGGACTAATATGCTTTGTTCAAGATGGAAGCCTCAGAGGACAACACAAATACTGTTGCAGTGGCAGCTATTCCACAATTCATAGCATATTTAATCTCATTAACTATGACTAACCAGTATGTTACCACTGACATGGTTATACGATAAAGTATATAAATACCAAAAGTATAGACAAGGCTTTAATTTGAGATATCAAAACAAAATTTTAATCCCTTTTGTCACTATAGAGTACACATGAAAATACCCATACACTTGTTTTCCTACTTTTTTATTCCATTGAGTAGAGGTTAGGCCTCCACTGAGAATTAGTTATTTCACACAACACTTTTACCAAATCATAAATAAACAATTTGTAAGCTACAGAATCCTTACTTCCTGCTCATATGCTGATTATCAGAATGTATCAGGGAAATGCTGCTATTACTACTTTCATCATAAATAAATTTTCTCCAAATATTCATTAAGCTTGAATCCTGATAATTTGTGCAAGTTAGGTGTGTAACATTGTTAATCCGACTGAAAACAGCAAGAATGGGTAGTTATTTGTTTAAGGCAATAGGAAAAGACAGTGAGTTACAGTGTGGCAATCCAGTTCTGCTGGTTAGGGGCCTCTTTTCTAGTGAAATTATCACCTTGTAGTGAAACAGTGTTTCATGTGGAGTTATTCTGTACAGCAGTTTGCCATTACTGTTGCTCAAGTAAAGATTGGTGCCTCTTCTCAAAAAATGTGCTTCCCAGTTTTGTGTCCACATATACTATTTGTAATATTTTTCCTCAGACAGTTTCTCTTGCTGCTTTTTTTTTTACAGCCCTGTGAAACTCCCTGATAGGCAAGGTTCTCTGGATCATCATGAGGATTTGTTTTTCCCATATTCTTGTGTTGAAGAACCCTACCATGGCCCTGTTATGCCAGTTTCAGCCATTGCTGGACTAGTAGGAGATGAAGCAGAAACATTCGTGGTAGCTACTCATTTTATCAATTTATTACTCCAAGTCATTATGGTTTTTATGCATTTAGATTTAAATAAATTAATAATTGTAATGTCTGTTTAAACAGGTACAATCCAAGATATAGTTTTGTTGTTTCAGAAATGTTTTTGAAATACATTTTGACAGATTTACAAGGCATGCTACTATTTTATAGTACATCTGATGTGTCCTGGTGTAGTAATATGTCTGTGCAGTGGAGGTACTGCTCTCTATCCCAGGAGCATTAACAGTATGTCAGCATTTAACTATTCCTGAGCTAATGAGAGCTGTTGAAACCTTGCTAACCTGATAATAACCTTCAGGTATCTTTACTTCCCTTTGGGGGTTTGTTCTCTTCTTGACTCTGAAAGCATCTCAAGCTGTGAAAATACTGAAGGGTTTATTCCAAACAGCAGCTGCTGCTTTTGAAATACATTCCCATTCCACTGATGGTGCTGGATCTGCCCATTTGCTGTGTTTGTATTTGATCACTTGCTTGCTAGCCTCCTTAGAGATACGAAATGCTTCAAGAGTTGTCATTTTGTTTGAAATTTACTTTCACCTGACTGTTAACTAGAAGCAACTGGCACTGTGAAAACAATTAATTTGCAAATCTGGGATTCCCTTTTAAGATTAAGAACATCATTTTTCTGTTTAATGGCTTGTGCTATATAATGATACTGGAACTACTGTACATTAGATGGTGCAGCATTATATTGTCTTTTTGCTGGGCAAATGTGAGTTCTATATTATCAGGTCAATATACGAAAGGTTTATGCAATAAGCCTTTATTATAAAGCAGAATGCAGAAAAAAATTGAAAATGGGAAATTATTTTTCCTTACCTCATCCTCTTTTACATGGCATTTGCAGAGCTTTTTAACTGTGACTACAGATGTCCTCTACTGATTTTGATTACACCTGAGCTACTTATATTTCAAAACACTTAAAACATGGCAAATAAAGATGAAATATATTCATAAGCATTATTGTGTTTTTATTCTACCTTACTGCTTCGTATAATATGTACAGCACCTCAATTGCGAAAAACACTTGGTTCTTTAGTCTGCAGTGTGAGCTATGAAAGGGAGAAAGAAACAATATATTAGGTCTGTAAGTATTAAAAGAATTTGTCCTTGTATGCGTACTATTCCATTCATCAAGATCAAATATTCCTCTGTGGAATGCTGCAGATAGAGTTCTAAGATTTCAGCAGAATCGTGTGAAGAATTAAGACCTTCTTGTCGTTTCCATCATCATTTGCATCCCTGTTATTTCTAGCTCTGCTTTGGAATGTATCACAGTCACTGAACTTTTATTTCCCTAGAACTGAACATTCTCTGTATAGTCATAATTCCAGCTTTCTGTGAGAATTTTCTGCCTAGCATTTCAAATGTACAAGATTTGTGCCATGTTTATGATCTATTTCTTGCAAGTTCTTGTGCCTGAACTTGCATATCTATGTTGTGAGCTTTCTCACATGGAAGAAAATGTGCTTTCAACCATATTAGGTACCTTTATGGGGTCTTTGTATTCCTAACTGCCTCCAGGAAAATCTAGATTTCTTTTTACTGGCTTCAATATGATCATCTTCTCCTTAAATATAGAAATATTTGTGAAGTAAGAGTAGGCTGATCTAATTCTACTAGTTTTTGACCAAGATTTCCTTTTCTTTCAAATTAGGAGGTATATATTTTGGTATTTACTATCAAACACCCTAGGTAGGTGGGTGTTTGTTATGAAATATTAACAAAATTACGTTCAAAGATACTTTAGAATGATTTTCCAGAAATATGAACTTGTTCTATTTGTTGTGGTTTATTTTTTTCCTGGGTACTAAATTGTAGGGTGCTGCATTCTTCCAGAAGTAGCACCAGGAGACAAACTCAGAAACACTGATTCAATTTCTGTGTTTTCACCTGGCTCCAGACTGTGCTAGCTGAGTTACCTTTTTCTTTTTACAGGCATGTTATTTGGTGATATTGTACAACACTAATTCTCCCCTCTATATACACCTCTGCACGTATGCTTCATCTCTAACCTAGCAGGAGTACTGAGCTGCTACTAGATCTTGTAACCCAACCCCACTGGGTGGAATTGTGTACACATGTCTTGTAGCTTAATACACCCAATCCCAACATGGAGAGTGTGCCTTTGGCAAAGCAATTCCTGCTTGATTTGGTCTGGATTACAGTTGATATAGAAGGTGTTGTCTCAAAATATGGTTTTTTCAAAGTCCTTATGTTGAAAACTAATACAGTAACATTCAGTGGGACTGAAACTACTGAATTTGCTGAGTTCTTCAGATATCCAGACATCTTCAGACTACAGTTTCTGTAATAGACTTAATGGTAGTTATGGCACCTCTACTTTCTACAGTTTCTCACTCTAAATTGACAAGCCCCTGCTGCAGTTACTTGAATGGGTACTATAACTGATGATTTGTATACTTTCACAAATGTCTGTGAACACTTATCTGATTCTGGCCTAAAATCTGCATCTCAACATTTGTTCATACCTTGGAGTTACTGTCCTCACTATCATTGTTCTCTCTTTTTTTAATTGATAAGACAGCATGCTCCTCCTGGATGTGGTTAATGAAGTGCTTTCAGTTTAGTGCAATAGGGATAGTATCATAGCTTGATGAGCCTCTCCCATTTTCCACCAAATTCAACAGAATTTTTCTTTACAACTAAATCCAAGTCAGCTGGGGTCAACATTTTTCATGTTGATATAAGCATCAAAAGTGGAGAACCATTTTATTTACACTAATAAGTAGAAGGATTACTCTCAACTCATAGTCTGTGGTTGCTTGGTGGCAGTAGCACGTTCCTAAGGAGTGTGTGACAATCATGTAAGAAAAGCAAGTCTGCTGCATGTGCACTTGTTTGCATCCATGCTCTGGAGCCAGATCTTGAGGCTAAGTGTGTACCACAGTGTAACCACAGTGAGGCAGCAGAGTGAAAGGAATTGAAACATTCAAAATACTTCAATCTTTTTTTCTTCCATTGTACTTTTAAAGTTGTGTTTTGGTATTTCTTACTGTTATGATCTGAGTTTTATGAATTTACTTTGCAATGACCAGCCCACTTGAATCCATTGTATCCCCAGTAACAATGTTATTCCATTGTTTTATTATTATTTCTTTTGTGACAAGAATCCATCATGGATTCTTTTCTGTTAATTTTAAAAGAGACAGAAGTTCAACAAAAGTCTGCATTATTATTACGCACCACTGCACCATTGCACAGTTGAAGAATCAATCTTGTTTTAAATTTACATAATCTCACCCTAGGATTAACACATTTTTCCTAGTTTATGTAAAGGCAGTCATGACAGCAGGCATAAGGGGGCATGAGAGAGGTTGTCTTTGCGGAGGACGCTTTTGATTCATGGTAGTTAAGTTACATCTTGCCAAAGATTTGTGCTGTTCAAGCTATGTAAAATGAGGGAAAATGCCTATATTAAATTTTTCCCTGGGTGATGTACAGTCCCATCCTGCTGTAGATTTATTAGTTTGTCCTATTTTATTCTTCAAAATGCTGTGTAGGCATAAATAAAGAGTTGCCTATCCAGAATTGTATAGGAAGTCCTTGGCATATTTTACTAATGAAATCTGAATAGCTATGCATCTTTGTCCTATGCTTTCATCACAAGTGCATCCATATTTTCTCTTTTAATAGAACCTTAAGTGAGACAGCAAGAGAATTTATAGAATTATGGACTCTCTTTATTTTATCCATCACATTCAGTATTGTTCCTCTTCTCCATTCCTGCTCTTTGAATCTTTGCTTCTTAATGTTCTCACAAGGTGTTGGTTTTTTTTTTTTAGTGACTCTGCTTCAATCTGGTTGTTTCTATCATGGTATTTATATAACTCCTACCTCCTATTGCTGTTGTATCTGAACAGCTCACAGTCTTTAATAATATTAGGTGGAGAGGTACAAATGACAGATTTGAGTTTTGTTTTAGAGAAATGAAATTCCAGGTATATGGTAATCTGTGGCAAGGATATTTCTAGATCTAATTTATGCATGATGAAAAGATTAACAGAGATGTTTTTCAGACTAATTTGGTTATAAGATAAGCTATTTAAACAAAGTGTGTTCTAATTCTACCAAGAATTCAATATCATAGGATGAAGAAGAAAAAAACAAACCAACAGGATGTGTCTGCAAAATCAGGCTCTTCTGTAAAGTTTGAAATACATTTGTCAGGATGAGGTCATATTAGGTAACCATTTAAATTTGGACTCCTAGTGCTATTCTGATGGGGGGAGAATAAAAAACAATCTAGGAGCTGACTGTGTTGATTTTTTCATAATTTCATCACTAAGAAACTGGGAGATTACTTAGTTGTAGTGGATCAATGCCTTTGTTAGAATGGATGATGTACCAGAGGGGATTTCTAAGCCAGAAGGCAAAAGTGCTGGATAATACATTTAAAAAACAAAAACGAAACAAAAGTTACCACTTTTAATGAAAATATAATTTGTCATTTACACAAGCTTCTAGAGAGGAAAGTGTTCTGGACTTCTCCCTCCAGACATTGGTTTTTCTGGAAGATGTTCTTGTTTCTCACGTTTCTAGGCTCAGTAGAAGGATGACTGAATAAAAGAAGTCAGACTCTGAGATAATTTCTTGGCCTTGAAATGTACGTAACTATACAGATATTTGCCAGTTAACTGAACTTGTTTGTTTTTGTGCTGAAGCCTAGAACTGATATTAAGCCTTCATTGCATCCTACTGCCCACTGCTGGACTACAACCTCTGACATTTACCTGGGCTGTAAAGAAGGTTATATTTTGGCAATTGATACTGAGAAATGCAGTGCTTCAATTATTCAACAAAAACCTCTATCTGGTAAGAAATAACTGTTGTGTGCTTTATTCATGTAGGGAGGAAGATGGAAAGGAACGAAGAGTTTTTTGCTTTATTCTGTTGCGTAACCTAGAGAAATTGTAATGCTGTACTGGAGAGCCATATGAAAACCTTTATTCCTTTATTAACAAAGTAAACATTTCAAAATTTCTGTTGATCTTCTAAGTCTTTAGCACCCTTTAATTGGCAGTCATTTTTCTCAGCCAAAAAAATTTAAGAAGCTATGAATACATTAAAACCATTTGATAAAATGAACAATAATTCCAATAACCTATATCTTATTAACAGCTTTATTAGATTAACTTTCTATTGCTAATATAGCAACTATACAATCCTTTTATGGCTAGTTAAGTACAGTAATTTATTTGCTCTTGCAGGACATATTTTGGATTCTCCTCATTTGGTATGTTAGCTGATGTTAGAAGATATCTTTGCAGACTTATGTTTAGCATGATGTTGATTAACAACACAACTGAATTTAATATAAAGTTTCTTAATATAATTCTTGAAGATCAGCAGTTACATAAAAAATTTTCTAATGAAAAGAAGGCTGTAAATACAGTTAGGCTGTTGTAGGAGGTATGAACCACAGAGAGTGAGCAGAAGATGCCTCTGGCTTAAAACAAAGCAATTTACTTTTAAATTATTCTAGAAAGCTTGGCACATCTTGGATTGATTGCAGCTTGCTAAAGTAATTTGTCTCCCTAATGTGCATTCCCTTTTTTTTTTTTTCATGGGCACCTTTGGCATGCTGGTGAGTGAACTTTCCTGGCAACAGCAGCCCATTCCATACTTTTTTTTCTAGGAACCCTGAAGTCTCACCCCAACTCCCTGCCTTATACTACCCATTTATGCTCATACAGAGGGCTTCCAAAATGGAGAACAGTTAAATGTGGGCAGCATAAGCAGTTCTGGCAATGGCACCCTATACACTATTGTCCTTTGCAGGGACGGGAGTTGTCAGTCCTACTGTGCACATGTAGTTCAGTGGTTTGGTCAGATGGTAAAAGGAGCAGTAGAATGTGCTGCTCCTTAGACTAAAAGTGGGCAATATGACATTGCACACCAACATAGAACATTTTCTCTGATCAGTGCTGACTTAGAGTTAATAGAGAGGCTGACAATAATTTCGATCTTTTTCCAATTAAAGCATTATTTCTTAAAGTGAGGCAAGTATCCCTGACTTTTCCGGAGTACTGTATCTCTGTTCAGTAAAGAAATGCTGCTCTTAAAAAAGATAAAAATAGAAAATCCAGCATTATTTTTCCACTTTTGAAATTGTCAGTTGTAAATCAAATCAAGAGCTGGAAGTCATCAATAAGAAAAGATGAGGTGTGACTAGATTTTTTTGTCTATTCAGTAGAAAGCAACAAAAATATTTGTCATCTGGGCTTTTATTTGGCCTGTACGTTCTTCTTTGTGTTCTGTCCTAAAACTCTAACAAATGTCTGTAAGCATGTTGTATTGAAGCTTCTACATAATTTAAAACATTTAATGCTTCTGTTTAGCAGAATGCGTAAGTGCATGTCCAACTTTAAGCACTTCTTTTTATAACTGTCAACTGAACCAGAGAAAGATGGGTCAACAGTTGAGCTGGATGATTTCAGTGGTCTTCTCCAAACGTAATGATTCTATCAGTGTATGAAAGATTGTGCCTGCTCAGTTGTACAAATGACAGAAAGGATTAATATGGGGAAAGAAAACACATTTTTGTCAGTATACTAAACCCAGCTTTCTGTTCAGTAGACTGGAATGCAACTGATATTTAGTGAAATATTGACATATAAACAAGGTTAATGATGTAAATTGTTTTCTCTTGTGCAGAACAGATACGTAAAATATCAGACATGTTGGACTACATTCGTAGAGAAGTACAGAAAAAGAAAGGTATTTCTATATTCCAGTTAAGCTAGTAGATTTTTAGGCAGCATCAGTAATAGCTGAAAGTAATAGTATGTGAGTGTAGTTGGAAGTTCTGCTTAGATGAGCTCAGATCACCCTGGCCTCTACAGATTGATGACAATCATTATGTGTGTCTGATGAATAACTAATGGGCTTTCTGTTAATAGCTGAATGAATAGCCTCAGGAAAAACAGTGGCAGTGAAATAATTTCTGTTCATTCTAATTTAGATTGGAATAATTGAAGTTAGAGTAATTTCTGTATTGCTTAATTTTTATAACTGTAAGAACTTGTAATTTAGTTGAGTTAGGGTTTAGGGGGTTGTTTCAAACACTTTGAGTTCCATAGTACAAAAAAAAAAAATTATATTTTAGAGGAAGTTCAGCACAAGGCCACAAAGATTAGCAGAGAGTTGGAATGCATGATGTAGAAAGATGGGCAGAAAGAACTATGTTCATCGTGAAGGAAAAGAGGGATTTTGCTATTGCTTCAGCTTTCCATTGAAAGGTAGCAGAAAATATGGAGCTAGATAGGTAAAGGATATAGTTGACACCAGCAACATTTTGGGGTAGATAACAGGAAAAAAATTATCAAACTGAAGGAGGTCAGATATTTGGACAGGTTGCCCAAATAAATCATAGAATTTCTTAGTAATATTCAGACGTCAGCTGGATATTACTCTGAACAACGTGTTCTAGCTCTGAAGTTGTGTCTCAGTTTGAGTTGGCCCTGTGCTGAATGGGAAGGTAGGTGTATCAGAGGACTTCTAGGGTCTGTTCCAACCTAAATCACTATGTGATTCTCTTATTGACAGACTTAGTATATTTCTTTGTAGCTGTTCTGCAGCATTTACAGAATTAAATGATTTCTCCAATCAGTTTCTAGTTCAACAGGCCACAGTAGTAATGTCACTTCAAATTATGTATACCCACCTTATCCTTAATTATCAGAGCACAAAGGTCTAGAATTACATAGACAGTAGAATATTTTTACTCTCAAATAATCAACTCTTCCAGATTTAATGCTGAGATAGTGTTCCAATAAGTTAAACTTTTGTGTTGGTCTTCTGCTCTTAGGTGGCAAACCACAGGCTCTGCGAAGAACAGTTGTGTTTACCATGGCATTTTGTAATGAGGGACTGTACACAGCTGGAATTGTAAGGCATCCTTCATGGTCTTTACTTATTAATATGATGTCAAAATCAAAGAATATTCATATTGAATACATTCACAGAGTTCGCTTCAAAGACAGGCTAGAAAAAAAGTGGAGGGTTGCAGAGCTGTAACAATTCTCTCTGGCATAGTGTGTTCCTTTTTAAGGCTTGAGACAAGAAATCAGAAGGGGGCAGGATTGGAAGAGATTCCACTTTTGTAGTCAAAGTGACAAAAGAGGATAACCTATTTTTAACAAAGAACAGCACTCTACAGGAACAGAAAAGAAAGATGGACATAAAACAGGAAAGTAGAGAAAATGGCCAGGAGAATTGTCTATTTATTTTGTGCAAAATCTACTTCATCTTTTAACCTAAACTCATGATGCCATTGTTCATTACTGCTTAGAAGTAAAACAGTTCTTATACTGTCTTTAAAAAAAAAAATCCCAACAGTATGAAATCTGAAGTATTAACTGATTAGTCCATTCTTATCAGATGTGAACTGTTACTAAGACTTGTATTAAGGATCACCTCAGTGGATTTGTTATTCAAAGTAAGAATCCTCTGAGTGCAGATGTAATAAAGGCAAACCAGATTGTTAGAGATTATATACTGTTAAAAACTTTAGAGGTTTTTAGTAGTTCTTGCTGTGAAGTTTGCCACTTAGAACTAATGTGGATTTATACTTTTCTGCACAGGAGGGCGTTTTATACTTTTATCATATCAGAGATCTCCAATATGAGATGAAAATGTGTACTGACATCTCAGAACCCATATCTACCCTCATATTCTCTCCTGATTACACAATACTTCTGATTATTACTGATCAGGTATAGTATTTGAGATAATAGCAGAATGTATGAGATATTTCTGTGATGCTATATTTATGTGTTGGTACTGCTAACGTGATTGTGTGAATCTGTGAAACTTCCATAATGCTATCCCACAAGTAAAACAATTTATACCAGCAGTAAACTCGGTCTGTGCAGTGTTTCTAACAAAAGATTGGAAGGATTCTAATGAAGCATAGAACAACTGTCTTCTACAGATGGTTCATTATAAAGTACAGTTGATTCTTGTAGTAAGACAGAATGGGGTGTTTAAAATCATTTTATTAAAGAAATCTTGAAAAGAAAAATATCTAGAAAATCTGACTAGCTGAATAACTACCAAATGATCTTCAGCAAGTATAGGTTAATAAAATCTGTAAAACTCAGCTGTATTCTACTGGGCACTTTTAAACTAAGTTTAGAAAGAAATAAAAATCTCTAAAGAATTAAGCTCAGGAAAATGGATATTTTTGTTGAAGTGTTTGAAAGCTTTTAATGAAATGTTTCATAGCTCTGTGATGGATTACTATTTTTTATTTGTCAGGGGACAATCTATTCTTACGAACCTGCCCACGGTGGAGAAGCTGTCAAACTCCTGAATGCATTCAGCAGTTATTTGCTGGCTGCTGATTTTCTTACTCTAGGGGACAAGTACTGTGTGGTAAGAAAAGGCTTTTTTTTTTCTATTTAATGGTGAGGTTTTTTTAGGAAACCAATATATTGCTAAGGCACAAAACCAACAGCCTTAAGGAGACTGGGTCTGTCTTGATTTTTGCTTCAGTGGTATGAATACCTATTAAAAGAAGTAAATGGGGTCCACTCAGGTATAGCCTATAAAAAAGTGTAAAAGAAATTTCCTTTGAGTGTAGGGTGGATGCAGATTGCTAAAACTGTCATACTCTTTCTGCTGTTGATTTGTGTGACTCACAGTTTGTCTTTGAATATAGATGCAGAAAGTGAATTCAATTTAGAGAATAGATTTTGGAACACGGAGTTTCCTACTGATCCTTTCAGCCCTCAGCATAAATTGGAACAGAAAGAGTTGCCTGTCCTGGGTCCCAAGACAAAGGCAACCTTACTAATTGATCTGTCCATTCTGAAAAACTCCTTGCTTTCATGCTGTCTTTGATTCATGCAAGACATGTATTTTGTCAGTAAGCCTGATTTGTCCCCAGGCCATTATTTCTTCATGTAGGCAGTGTAAAAACATTGGAGTCTTTGGTTTATTGAATCTGTTTCTTTGCTAGCGCAGGAATGATACATTTTATTTGCTTCAGAGTAAGTAAAGTGAGGATTGATTGGCCTCTAGCAATACTTTACTGTGAAATTATAAAATTTTCTGTATACAAGCAGATCAAGCACAATTATGTTATACATAGTTTTTTTCATGTGAGAAAGTGAAGAGCTCTTCTTTGGGACTTTCCTATGCAAAGAAAATTTGGAGTGTTTTTAACTGCTGACTGAGTGTCGGGAGTGCTGATATTGATCTGTTTTGCCCTGCATTGTCTCTTTCTGCTTAAAGACCATTCCTACAGCTGCAGCAATTAAAAAAATATATTTTCTTTGCTCTTGCAGCAGCTGTACTTAAAGTAAAAGCCAAATAATTCCAATTGAAAGTGGGAACTCTTGATCTGTTACACTGAGACATTAGCTAACTTTATATTCTATAGAAAATCAATAGCTACTTCCAGATAATGTGGTTATTCCATCCTCCTCTGATTATGTTTTTGTCTCTTCAAGTCTGTAACAATTTCAGGTGGAGTACAAATTTGGCTTCTGGAAAATGGGACTTGCCTCAGCATGCTAAACCTTGATATTGAGGTACACACTAACTAGAAGCTTATGTTGTAAGAAATACTTAAGATTTTCATTTTAATATTTCTGTTTTATACTAAAATATTGCTCAAAATCAGATCAGCCAATTTTGAGAACAGCTAAATAAAATCTTTCAATAACAAATGAGAGATTTTATAATATATTTCAGAAGATTTCCTTGAACTAGACACAAATTTAACTCAGGCAGAGAGCAGAGAAGGCATTTCAGCCTGATATTCTAGTGTTCTGTTTTTAAGAATTCATTTGTAAATAATTTTTATGGTATTACTTTACTAAATCTGTATTTTTAATGTGTGTTAGAATTGACAGGAAATTTTTCAAGTGTATAAGAACTGTCTTGACTGATCTAACTAAGAAATTTTAGGAAATGGGTTGATTTCAAACTGTTAATATTTTGTCCCGACTTAAAATGTATTCAAGTACTGAAAAATCCTGTGGATTTTTTTTTTTGTGGAATAGATAATTATATTTTGATAAGTAGATATAGAGCACGAGGGGAAGTGCTGATGATGTCTATTGAAATCTGGCTTTCTAATAACAGTAGAGAGTTAGAGGTAAATCACATTGATTTTATTCTCTGAATTTTAGAGAGTTGTAAATACTAATAGCAGTTGCATACTAACTTATAGCATAACATCATACATGATATGGAGCTGTTAAGTATTTTTTATTTCTCAATTAGGCAACTGCTATGGCTTGTTGTCCCTCTTCAAACAGTGTTGCTGTAGGAACGAAAGGGGGTCAAATCTATTTTATTGACGTTACCAAAGTTGAAGCTCCACGGGTTGTTCACAGAAGTTGTCTTTCCAAATTTCCAGTACTATCTTTGCAGTAAGTATGCAGTAACAGGGGCATGAATAGTGTCAAATAATTGCTTGAATAATGCAGTTGAATAAAATTTTTGAAGTTTTTGTTCTAAAAATGTCAAAGTAAAGCACTTTAACAGTTTAAATATTTGTTTCAGCAATACTTTTTTTTCTGAATTACTTACAAGAGTACTAATACCAGGATTTAGATGACAAAAATATAATATTGTATTTTTAATGAAAGTCAAGGGAGCACTAAATACGTTGATGCATAAAATCCTTTCTGACAGATCACTCTATGGAGTAATTATATGCAGTGTCATGTATCTGGACTTAGAGGGTGATTTCTCAATGAATAAAAATTCAAGGTTTTGTGAAGTTAACTTTAAGCCTTTGAGTCATCTCTTCTTACATAGTAGTTCCTTTCCTTACAATTATTAATAATTCATTTGCTCACAGTTTTGAATTTGCCAATCCTCCTATAAGTATCTTTTGTGACCTAATAGTCTTACTCTTTATTGCTGTTGTTTTTCAATAATCAATATGTGAGAGTATTTTCATTCTATCTTAAAAAACAAAATGGATTTGAACTGCTAAACATTAATATAAATCTGCTTGTTGTTGAGAGAGTCAGATGGAATCTCTTTTCACATTTACCTAATGTAAAACACCAGAAATAGATACAGAAAGCAACTTATTAAAGGGAAATCAATGCAGATACATGCTTAATCAAAATAATATGAAAATGGTTTTACTTGAAATAATTGAACTTCAGAGGAAGTTGATAAAATAGACTACCTTGGGGTACTCTTAGCTTTAGATCACATACCTGCTCAATTAGTGCACTCATTGCACACGCATAGCACTGGCTCTGACTGTAAAACTAGAAACTGAAATTTCAGTTGTATTTATGCCCTCAAGGAAGTCAGCAGCTATGAGGATGGAATTGTGAACAAAATGTTACCCCTGTATTGACTGTATTAAACTGTTTTTGGAATATAACATTCAAAACTGGGTTTGTACTTGGTTTTTTGTTTTCTTTAGTTATGATCAGAGTGGCCAGTTCCTAATAGTTAGAGCTATGGAAGGATATATCTTCGTTCTAGATGCTCGGCCTTCAAAATTATTCCAAGTTCTTGGATATGTAGGTAATACATGAAACAACATTAATTACATCATATTTTCACTATTTGTTGTGTTTTAAATATACTTGCATGTCAGATTAAGCCACCCTCCTTCAGCTACTTATATTCTGGGAGGACTAAATATAAAAATATTTTTCCTATCAATTTCCAAAACTAATTATGTAATTATGTGCTGGTAAATCTCTTAAGATCTTTATGGCTGACAATGTGAGGAATTACACTAATTATTGATAGATCATGACGTCTGAGTGCAATCTCTTGTTACAAATGCCCACTACTGACCTCTTTAACATGGGGACTGCTGGAATTGGAAGGTTTGGCGGTTGAAACTGAATAGTTAAAAATGATGAAATTTTAACTTGCAACAAAAATTGTTCTGTAAATCTATTTAGGTAGTCTCTCAATTCCAGTAACATACTTCTGGCTCATATTTGTGCATATAGATTGTCATCTTAATTTAAGTCCAACGGACATTACTTTATGATTTTAATAGGTTTGACTTCCAGGATAATACTTGGAAAGTTCATACGTTAAACTGTATTTAGAATTACATCTCCTTAGATAATCTAAATATGCCTGATAATGTTCTCATTTTCTGTGTGATTTCTTAGAACCAGACATTTCTTTGCTTTATTTGGTGGTTATCAGCAAATTGCCTCAAACTTGCTAAAGTTCAAGCTAGATGTAAACTGAGATTTAACTGTTCAGTGTAACCAAAGCACTTAAGTGCTCATCAACACTTCTGAAATCAAGTTGTGGCTTGTCTGATATTTTAATGCAAATTTGAAACAGTCTAGTTGTGCAGAGCTGTATTCTGAAAAGGGGTCTCCATTATGTTTCATGTAATATCTCAGTAAAAATAATGTTACCATCATGTAGTAATAACTGGTGTTTCAGTGTTGGCAGGTGAGGTGCTGAGTCTTTCAGTAGTTTCTGACTTCAAGAACAACGTAGTTGAAGTGATGGTGCTTCTTAATGTAGCAGAGATCCAACAAACAAGGCTGGAAATCTTTTGCCTCTCGTCAACACTCATGGAAGGTATGAATTGAAATATATATACTTTGTGATGCTTTTCTAAGACTAGAATATATTATTGCCATTCATTACATAAAATACTAGCAGTCTTAATCTCTTCCTTCATCTCATCTGTACATTCTTCTGCACCACCATTTCTCCTATGGCTGCCTGGAGACTTGAAGTCAGCTGAATTGTTTCAGTAGAAATACTGTGATATTTTGAACAAAATGCAAGGAAAGGAGGGAAGTATCTCACATGTAGAATCAAAAAGCAACCACCTTACTACTACTACTATTATTGTTGTTATTACTACCATGTGGAAATGCCCGAAGTCAGCCACTAAGAGACCTTGTGCTTGTCATTACCTACATGCAGACTAGTATATCAGATGTTCAAAGTGGAATCAATCCCACCAGCCTCTTCATAGAATTGTAACAGATATTAGTTTGTTAAGAACATGTTAAAGTTGATATTTCTCAAAAAACAATTGTTCTTATAGTTTTTCTAACTGGCAGAAATTCCACTGTATTTATAAAATATTAACTTGTATCCCAGTAAGGAATGTTAGAGAGAAACATTCCATGAAAAGCTCTGCACATTGTTGAAAAGGGAAGAAATAAAGAGAATTAAGAATGGTGCACTTCAGTTCATCTGCTGAAAATCTGGGCCTGTGTATCTGCAGTGTGCAATGTGCATACTGAGATATTAAAATTAGAATATCTATTTGTAATATGGGGAATAAAGTGAAGGGAACCTGTTAGTGTTTCACTAAATTGGGTATCCCACACTAAATTTTCAAATGGTCATGCTTGGTTTTATATGTGCAATTCTCAACTGTATAATGAGTCAGTAATTCTTCTGTGCACATCTATAGTATTATAACACTTTTAAATGAATCTTTTTTTTTAAAAACAAATAGACACAAAATGGACTCAACTGCTGCAAGTGATCATAGAACTTGTAATTATGTCTGATATTCTATGAATGCATTGACTTGGGGCACTTTCTGGAATCAAATGTAAAACTAAATTAATAGCTGTGGAAGGACTTAATGCATTAACTTCAATAATGCACAGAGTAGGTCAGTGTTGCACCTGGTGTCCTCATCACACAACCGGTGTAGGATAGTGTACTAACAGTAGTTGTCAATGACAGTGTGAAGTTCCACTTTTGTCTCTTCCATCCTTGAATTTCCAAGTGAGCAATACTGTTTGAGGTTTCATTCATGTCCCTGTCACGTTACAGGAAAAAAGTAGTGTATATCCATTATTTACATCATTCTACTTTTGTATCATTTATACTAGATGCCACTGGTGACTAGCAAAGCCTTTTGTGGAGAAAAATGAGCTCTAAGTAAGCCTAATGCCAGATGTTCTAGTTATTTACAAGTAATTTTGAAAAGGCCTTACAATTCACAATCTTTCTTAGAAGTAATCCTCAATGATAGTGTTTTCTTTAAAAATACATTAGACTAGTTTTTAACCTAATCATAGTCAATTAAATTGGAGTATGATTTTTAAAGTTGCTGAGAATCTACATTTCTTGCATCAGTCTTAATGTCAAATGCCTCTTGGAAGCTCAAATTAAACAACCAAAAAGAATATAATGCCCTTTTGAAAGCAGTGACGTGAGCCTCTGTGCAAACTAGTTTGCCCTGCTCATGTAATACCTAAAAAACTGGTTAAATCAGACAAATTTTTACTCACTGTGACTGAACTGTTGATAGTACTTATTCAGAACTAATACAACTCTCTTGGTACATCACTTCAGTGTGCTATGTTTGCAGTTAGTGTTTGAAGCTACAAATCTTAACTCATAGTCTCCTTGAAAACAGCTCATGCTTACTCTCTGCTGAGACTGTTTGGTTTGCATTAGTGGTGGTGATGTCTCTTCCTCTTTATTTCTTTTATCAATCTTTTAGGAATTGATAAGTATGTTAATGATCAAGGAATGCTAAATGCTAGTGCCATTAAAAAGGAGCAGTATGATCTGGAGTACCCTTTGAGTTCAGCAGTCAGACTGAAGGATAACATAGTGTATGGCTACTGTACCTGTGCACCTTTCATCTGTAAATACAATCTCTCTAAACAGGTAAATTCCCAAAAGTTGTTGTACTTTGAGTCATGGTGAAGTACCAGCTAGGAAAGGTCATATATGAAGTAAATATATGGGAGGGCATTAGCTAAGAAACTTCTTCTCTACACTTAAAGCATCTACTCCATCCTTAGATATCAATTTTCAGTATACTACTCAGAAGCCTGGCATAACAAAGATCTTTGTTCTATGAAAGAAAAAGTCAAATTCTTGTATGTAAAACTCATGCAGCTTGCAGGCGTGTGATAGACAACCCACAAAGCTATTGTTAGTCTCCTCAGAATGGCATGGATATGTCAATTATTCTAACTGCTGCTAACATTGTTTGGTTGACAGAGCATTTTGGAAGACCCACCAGTATTTTTACCAGAAAAGATAATTCCTAGCAATCAGTTTGGATCAGGATTCATCTGTTTATCACCCAACAGCCGATGGCTGGCATCAGCAGCAAAGGATGGTGTTTTGTTCATCTATGATACTTCCACTATGGTAGGTGGGTTCTTAGGCACAGGCTTAGTTTGGTTTTCACCTGAAAGACCTATGAGAGCTTCTTTATTTCACAGTAAACTCTTATTCACTTTATATATAAAGTTTCAGAAAAGCTTTTGTTGAACATGAATTGACACAGCAATTGTTTTTATATGAATGTAAATATGATCACATATACTAATTTTCTTCTCCAGTAAGTTTTTGGATTTAAACATGAGTTTACTGATCTTCTTTATCTCCTACAAAATCCATATACAACATTATTCTTACATCTAGTCAAAAATTATAAACTCGTGAACTCTAGTATTTTATATACTTCATATTGGCATTTCAGATAAACCTTTATCTAAAAATAAAAAATAGTATAATTTACAGCCATAATCCATTAAGAAGTTATATTTGATGAACTGTTTCTGACTTTTCTAGGAGATACTTGCTCAAAACTATTGTCACTCATATGAAGGAGGGGGAATCAGATCTATAATATTTTCACTAGATGGCAAATTCATCCTGGTCAGTGGTGAAAGTGATGGTGCCCTGGTGTGTCTCAAATGGAAGTATGTATAAAGTGGCAGAATAATATTGATGGTATAAGTTCTGGGATCTGGGCAGACTAATTTTTGCATCTTCTTGTGATTCTGAACTTCCTTTTGGTTAGTCTCAAAATAAGGAGAATTGAATTGAGTTGTTGGGTACAAAAGTCACTCCTTTCTACTGCAGAGGTCTCCCCAGCTCATGGCGTTGTGGAGAATGTTTTGCAATTTGTGTGTGGTTGCGGTACAAGGTATGAGTATCTTCTGATAAACACACGTATTACAGATGGTGGGCTTCTTGTCACTTTCAGATAAGCCATCTGAAAATTTCTAATTCTATAGAAACTTCATTTAATTCTAGAACACCAACAACATTGAATCATAAGTAAAAACACTGCAAAGGCATGTTTAAAAAAAATTAATAAATGTGTTACAGAGAACATTTTAAAATTCCTCAATTTTCATAATAAAATTTCACAAAAAAATATCAATTCCTTTACTATTTAATAGGAAGATAGAGGAAATTGAAGTTAAAGAAGCTGACTTTCACTGGCAGTCTCTTCTTACTATACTGAACAAGTCAATTTTGGATGAAAATGCTGTTTTAACGTGTATGGCAGAATGGCAAATTGAGTCAAAATCCACATCGGAATCAGTTCCAGAAGAGAAATCTAAGGTATTTTCTTAATTTTGGTGGGAAGGAAACATGGTCATTATCCTAAAGCTTTATTTAAGTACTGTTTTAAAAAAAAAGAAAAAAAGAAAAATCAATTCTAATCTTTTTATGTTAGTAGAAGAATACCCGTGGCAGGTTGGCTATGGTTAATTATTAATTTATGGAAAAGTATTACCAAGAAAATTGAAGTTTATTGGAAGACAACTTTTGTATCTTTGCTTTTACTTGTTGTTTTTTCTCTATGAAGTTATGTCATTCACAGTGTAATATTACTGCTATACACTGTGAGTTGCTTGTTGTATGTTTTTCTGTTGAAATAAAGCAGGGCAGTGATTACAGAGTTTAGTGCAGTCATGCAATTATAGTCAAAAGTCTTTGCATAATAGCATAGATTTGCAACGATTAGGATTAGGTAACGATTAGGAACTAAATATACTAACACCTTCTGGAATTTGATGGCAGTGTTGCTTCTAATGTAAGTGAATTATTTATTTTCGTTTCTTGTTCCCTTTCCTCCCATCTAAGTACTTGGGATGCATTTTTATATCTTTGTTTCCAGAAGTCACCACTTGAACCTTCCAATGCAGCAGTGACAGAAGATGGAAACTTTACAAGTTTGCATTTAGACAGTACTAGTGAAATGACCTGGTTATGCCGGAAAACAGAGAAGGTATTTTCATACCAAAGATTTCAAAAGCCAGTAGCCATTTTAGGTGCTGAATTATATGCTGTAGATGAATGTAGTTTCTAAAAATGTAAAGGATTTAAGGCAGACACCCAGAAAAACAGGAGCATTAAAGACCAAAGGACCATCTCTACCTATGGAGCAGACTTGATTACCGGAAAACTTTCTTCCCTTAGAAACCTATGAAGACATTTACTTCCAAAAGTGTCAAAATGTTGCATAGAAGATCAGTACGAGAAACCAGGAAGGTGCTCTCTTCTCAGGAACCATAATAACAAATTCTAAACACTATTAAATAGTCAACAATATGACATAAATTGCTAAAAAGACCCCTGGGATTTATTTCAGGTTAAGGGTGAGGTAAGGGTGTTACGTAGCCAAAATAAAAATGCATGACGTATCAGTCTGTAGAGAGCGAATTAAATGCTTTGGGAGCCTGTATTAAGTATAGTTTTTTGTTTATTCAGAAATATGAATTTATGGATTCTAGCAGGTTGTTTATGACTTGAGCCAGAGCAGTGTGTTTTGTCCAGATTTTGGGGCTGAATGCATCTGAGAAATGACCTTTCAAATTTTGATACAGTTTCACAAGTGGCAGATATCAATGCACCTGCCACTGAAAGTAGAATCTTCTCCATCCCACTCCCAGGTGTGCATTCTTGTTTCTTCTTAAATGTCACCACTCATGTTTTTGTTTCTGCATTATAATTTTTTGACAGATCCACGTGACTGAGCATCCACAAAACTTCCATGTATAATTATTTTCTAGGTAGAGGTGATAAGAAGCAAAGTTTAATGGTCCTAGATTGGTGTAAGATGCTTGTTAATGATTTAGGAAATTTGCATCTGACTTTTAGAGGATGATCTCCATCCAGTATAAGAATCATACTCCACTTTCATGCAATCAGTAGCCACCATCTTACATAAAGCTGTAAAACTATCATAGAAAGCAAGTTCTGGAGTTAGAGAGCAATTGTGTGATTTTCTCTAAGAGATGAATCAGGAACACTGTAGCAGCAAACAAAATTTCTCTGCTTTGAAAACAAGTAGCAAGTGTTAATTTACTTTAGTTTTTATATATCCCACTGAAAGTGCTTAGTGATAATGAAAAATCTAAGGAATATACCACAGCTAACAAGTTCTGGGAGTAGGCTTTACCCAGTTCAATGTGCCTGTAATCATTTCACTTGTGCTTACTTCTTTCTTATATATTTTAAGCTCTTGCTGTGCAACCAGTTTGCAATGTAACCTGGTTGTACAGTTTTTCTCTTGAGCAATTGTAAGAGACATCCTCTGAATTAGCATTGTCTGTTTCACTTATTTCCCTCTAGCTTTTTGTTTTCTGTACAGATAATGTTCCTTTAAATTGTTTCAATGTTTTCTTTTTTCTTTTCTTGTCTCTTTTTTGTCTTTCAACAATATATTTGTATGTTAGGTCATTAGAGAAGAAACTGAGAGGTTTGCCAACCAGAAGAAAGAGCTTCAAATGAGAATTAAGAAGCTGCATAAAACTGTGAGTTTCTTAAAAGGGTGATGACTCCCATACCAGTTTGTTGTTGATTTTTTTTTTTATTTTTTTTTTTAAGACCACTTACTTTATGACTACCAGCTCCAGTGCTCTGTTAGAGTCCAGACATTTTGATTATCTCTAAGGATGAAGACTCCATGAGCTGTCTCAGCAACCCATTGCAGTACTCCGTCACCCTCATAGGGGGAAAAAAAAAAAGCTCAGAACCTCTTGTGTTTCAATTTGTGCCCATTGTCTCTTGTCCTGTCACTAGATACCACTGAAAAGAGCCTATATTTATATTTATATATACTGATAAGATCCATTCCTCCCACCTGTTTCTTGAGTCTACTTTTTTCTAATAGAGATTGATGACTATGTTGAAAAAGAGGGTTTTCTGAGAATTTGCTCTTTCAGTGTTGTTGAGCTCTTTGCATCTGTTGTAGTTTCCACAGAAATAAATAGGAGGCATTACTTAACTAAAATCATTTTCTCTGATATTAAGTTTTGTAGTTAAAAATAGCATCTTATCTATGCATGTTCAATTAATTTGTTTCTTATGCTTATTTTATACATAAGATCCAGAAAATGATGCATGAAAATGAACAGGTGCCAGACATTGAGAAACTGGGACAGCAGGAATTCAACCTGGATGTGGAAGAGCAGGAAAGAGCACAAGTAGAGGCTGAACAAGAAGTGGCCAGGGTATGATAGAAGGGTGGGGACAGGATGCAGTGGGGGAATATTCTAAAACCAGTAATGAAAATTAAAAAGAATAATTGAAGAGCAAAAGTCTTAAAATTGCTGTTCACTGCTGAGAAGAAGGAAAAAAAAGTATTTAAAATCACTTATTGAAGTAAGTAAAGCTGTTTATCCAGACACTGCTAATTGGAATATGATCTATGCCAGTAATTGTAGTTCCAACACTGTGTCCTTGGGAACATTGCTTAAGTTCTTAAAATTATTCCTGTCGGTATCATGTGATACAAGTTTTTGGAAAAGGTAGCTGTGATAGTCCAATATGATTAAATATTAGTAATTCTTTTGATTTGTTGTTTTTATTTCAGTAACTTGATACAAATCACCTGTTTTGCACCACGTGTTGTTATTCTATGTTCTTTATCTTGAAAGATAAGGGAGAAGATTGAAATGGAGATTTTAGCTAATTGCTACTTGCAGGATGTTATCAAACATGAGTGCTGGGATTCCATGTGTGTAAAAGGACGGGCAGTTAAGGTAAACTCGGGTTTCCACCTAATCTTCTGCACTAGTTTATTCCTTCCTTTAGGTGAGACAAACTAAATAGCTGTATAACACCTGTCTGTATGGAAAGAAACTTCTTCCTGGGATTTGTACAAATTTTTCATTGTCACTTTCTCTGAGCCTAGCTAATTTTATCTTCCAGGGTTGATAAGAATGCTGATAAGCAAATAAATAACTCCTTAATTCCTTGATCTCAAAGAATATTTTCATGCAGTTTTCCTAAAGGTTTAGTAAATATTATTTTTCTGTGTAGTTGGTATGACTTCTTAGTAGCAGCAAAATTTAATATTGACTTTTGTTACTTTTGAGCAGAGGGACATTAATTGTACTGAATTATCAAAACAGTGATGAAAGACCAAGTCATTTTTTACAAAAATCTAATTCTGGTAGAATTCCCTGGATAGAGAGGCTGTATCCATAAATTGTTAAAGGGAAGTAAGAAAAAAATAAAATTTAAATTTAAGTCAAATATTTTCACTACCAAAAAGGCAAGTGATTTTTGTCTTTTTTTTTTACTATGTCTGCTATTTTATTCCAGATTAAGAAGTCATTGCGACTGTTTAGCATTCATGTATTAAATTAATTAATGGGTACCTTATGAAGACCTTTCTACTTTGCTTTTTGTTTTTGTTTTGAACAGTGTTTCCATATAGCTTGTGAAGTGGAGAATTATCCCCTGAAGAAACGTGATGAAGAAGAGCTGAGAACTTTGGAGAAAGTTCTGCACTTAAGGAAGATTGAAGCAGCTAATCTTAAGGTTACAGTCTCTTTGTATAATCACAGAATTGCAAGGGTTGGAAGGGGACCTCTAGAGATCTAGTCTGACTTCCCTGCTAAAGCAGGTTCCCTAGAGTAGATTACACAGGAGAGTGTCCAGACGTGTTTTGAATATCTCCTTTGAAGACTACACAACCTCTCTGGGCAGCATTTCAGATCAGGATGTTCTGAATAGGCATTTTAATTCTTCTTTACAGGGATACATTTCTTGCTGTAAAAATTGTCCAATAAAAAGATACGGAAAGATGAAATGCGTTTTTACTCAGAACAAATACATCAATATTACAGAACTGTAGAGTAGTTGAGTTTGGAAGCATCCTCTGGCAGTCATCTGATCCAACCCTCCTGCTTCAAGCAATTTGCTCTGGGTCATGTCCATTCAAGTCTGGAGTATCTCCAAGCATGGTTTTCTGTAACCTTCATGGGCAACCCATTCCCATGTTTGACAACACTTACTTTAGAAATGTTTTCTTGTATTTAAATTAGGTTTACTATATTTTTGATGTGCAACCATTTTCTCTTGACCTGTCAGTGGATACCACTGAAAGAAGTCCTGTTCTGTTGTCTTAGGTCCCCACTGTCAGGTTTTTATACTCATCAGTAAGATTTCCCCTGAATCTTCTTCTTTAGGCTTAATAATCCCAGCTCAGCTTCTTCTCATATGTTAGGTACTTCAAATTCTTAATTGTGTATGTGGCTCTTCACTCAATTTGCTCCAATACATATTTGTGCTGCAGAACCCCACAGCTGGGACCCAGTATTCTAGATATGATCATTATCACTTATATTATTTTGTTTCCTGGGCAAGGCTTAATTGCTGAATATGACCTCTAGAACATTTTGTACAAGTACCACAGGTTTGTGTGCAAAATAATACAGTTTTATTTTTGTAATATTCAGGTTCAGAAAAAAGTTCTTGAGACTAAGTCTGAGACTATATTATTTAAAGAAGAAGAGAATACAGAAGAAGTCATGGCTGATGATACTGCATCTTGCTGCCTGGTTGGAAGTCTGAGTTCTCAGTATGGTGCAGACACATCTATACTTTACCACCAATTGGACTTGCACTCCAGGGAGCAGAAAGTCAATCAGATAGTATTACTGAAGGTGACTATAAACTTGTGTTACTGCGGTGACACTGTAATATCTGTTGGTCCACATAGAAGTCACAGCCACTGTTAGATTCTGGGCATAATTACTGCACAATGGAGTGTTGCATAGGTCTCTGATAATGAAAGCTGGTAATTGCACGTGATGCAGTAGAAGCTCCACATAGATTCATAGAATGGTTTAGGTTGGAATGGACGTTAAGACCCATCTATTTCCAATACCCCTGACATGGGCAGAGTTGCCACCTGCTATATCACAGTGCTCGAGGATCTGCACAATCATTCAAGAAGCCTTGAATGCTTCTAGGAAAATGCTTCCAGCAACTTACTTGCGAAAATTCTTTCTATGCCTTACCATCCTCTGAGAAAAATCCAGGATTGCCCCAACCCAAGCGCAACAGCTTGCACTTGGCTTCCATGGGCCCACTTCTCAAGCCTCTGTATGACATCCCTTCCTTCTACTGCGTCAACTCAGCTTAGTCCCACAGTCTATGTCATTGATAAAGATGCTGAAGACCACCATGTGGACTTGCCAGCTTAAGTCTGGAAGAAAAAATGTTTGTACAAAACTGGTAATCCAATTTGAGGGTTTTTGTATTTGTTCAGTAGGGTTAGAGTTTGTATAGATGAAGCTAGCTTGCACATCTCAGCATGCTCTCTGAAAACATGTCCTCTTTACCTATTACGTGCTGCTGAACTAAAGAGGATGGGGTGGATACTTAAAACATCTTATTTCTTTTCAAACTTACCATGCCTTCATTAGGAGCGTTTAATGTTTGTTATTTATTATTCATAACATGAGATTCTCCTACTACTTATACTCTTGCCCCAGTGCATTTGGTAATAAACATGATAAAAAATTGATTTCTAGTGATGATAATCTACAAAGGTAGAAATGGTTAAACTAGCATTAAGTGCTGCCTCCTTAGAGCTCTTTGAGGCTGTTAATGCTAGCAGAGCTTAGTGATTATGCATTATAATATATGAAATCTGGTAGATATACTGATGTTTGAAGTAGTTGAGGGAGAAACACATGGAACGCTCATCTTTTAAATATAAGCTGGGATTTAACAAGATCATTTTACTATATGGCTTTAAGGATGCATATTCTATCTCTAATTGTTGAAGCACTTCAGTGAGCTTAGTGAATGACAGATGACTGGCTAGGTATTGAGTAGAACCTTTTTTCTCCTAGCAGCACTGTACTGTATCTGCCATCCTCCCTTATTACATCCTAACTCACTGCTGTATTAGCAATCAATTAAATAATCCTGGACACAAATATTCATTGTAATAGAAATTGTAGACATCTAAGCAACTCAGAATATAAAGCTTGATGATAGGACTGAAATTCTTTTCGTGTTTCGGTTTAAGTTGATGCAGCAGGAGAAACATGATTTTCCTTCTTTATATTGTACTTTTCTTTGCTGAGGTCAATTGTTTAGGGTAGAGGAAGGATTTGTCTATTAAGGATATATGCTTTTAAAAATCATTTACTTATGGATGTCACACAGAAAATCACATTAACATATATCAAAATTACAAGCTACAATACTTAAAAATCAGGCAAGTGTGTACTTAATTCTGCTCCTTCACCTGTGTTTTACAGTCTTCAGAATTGCGTAATTTTTTACTTATTATTTGAAGCACCTTCCTTCAGACAAAGACTGCAAAAAATACAAGAAGGCAGCCTAATTTCTTTTATTTTGTTTTGGTGACGCTGTTTCTTTCGGAATCTTTGTTAAATGGCAAATATGTAGTAGAGAAGGAATAAAAATTTCTAGTAAAAAAAAAAAGTAAGTCACTAACTTGAACTCTGCCCTTATAACAAGGAAGAATTAACAAGCTTCCCTGTCACACATACAAATACACACACCCATGATTCTAAAGTAGTAGTATTTATGGAAGAAAATGACCTGTGCAGCAATGCTGTTTCTCTTATTTGTTTGGTTTTTTTTTTGGTATTTCAGGACATCATTTACAAAGTGAAAACTGCTTTTAATAAGGAATTTGACCTAGTTGCTCAACAAAAGGAGCAGGAAATAGCACGAATTAAAGAAAGAAATGTTAAGATCCGAGAAATCTTGCAACAACTTGACCTCCAAGTGGAAGTGTGGGAACCAGGTCTTACGTGTGATGAGAAACCAGAGCAGGTGCTCACTGTTAAGGATTCAGAGGTATCTGAAAAATAAAACTTTCACGTTCACCCACACAAAAGCAGTTTTCTGATTCTTTTTATTTCTAGCCATTGTTTGTACTGAAAAAGCATTAAAACAGATTGTGTCTGTGTACTTAAAATCACCCCTCTGGCTCTTTTTCTTTCCTTCCTCTCCCTTCTCTTTCCTAAATTTTAAAGTAGAAAACCCCTAATAAGTCACTATGAAATGAACAAAATACTGAATTAAGCTTTTAATCAGTCATAAATGATGGTAGAATTTATCCTCGTTCTTGGTTGTAAGGTTTGAACTGGTCTGGCAGAATAACTCATATAGGTGAGAGTTTCTCTGATTTTTCTTTGGTCTCTGAGCTCAGCTTCTAGGCACTTCAGCACAGTTAGTGATGTACTTCTACATAAAATTGATTATATATAAATAATAAACACTCTAAACATGACTAATATTAGCTAAAATGATGTAGTTCATATTCTAGCATTTTCAATATAGCTTTTGAAGCTGTTCTAGAGAACAGTTTTGCTCATGATGTATTAAAAATTACACCATTTTTCCAAATGTTTTTAGTCCATGTATGATAATGTTCAAAGAAAATGTTTGGAACTTCGATAAAAACATGATTTCCTACTTTCAGATTAAAGCTGAAAAATACCTGACTCCACAAGAGAGAGAGAAAGCAGAAATGCTGACTAGACTTGAAATGGAAAGACAACTTGCTTCTCTGGTACTTAAAGTAGCATCCTTTGTACTGAACAGGCCACTGTTACTCATTCGTCTTATTTAATACTGCTGTGGAATATACCACCAATGTAGTACAGGAGAATAAATGTAAAAATGCTAAGTAATAATGAAATATGCCTTTTCTGGCTTTTTTTCATTTACTCGCAGGTTACATAGACCAGCTCAGTGAAGAAAAGATTTGGTGTTATGCTTCCGGTTGTTAAAAATTTGCTTAGTAGCAATGTAAAACACCATACTGGGACACTTGGGACTAGAAACATCTTTAAATTATGCTGCCGTTTAGTCAAGAGCTTTGGGCTTAGTATAGCATGGTTGAGATTCTCTGACTTTTCTTCAGAGATTGCTTTCCTTTGGCTTTAAAATACATCTGTGAAAAGCCCAAGATGGTTTCAGCCCCCAAAGAGATGGACAGTAAGACAGTGGCACTACAACTTGCTTCATCCTAGCCCGCCAACTGGGCAGGAGTAGTCTATGCATATGTAATATTTCTAAAGCTGCCAAAATTGCAGTTTTAGTAAGTTATCTGGTATATTATCATCAGAAATTCTGAGACTTTTAGTGTATTTCACACGCACCTTCAAAGAGCATTAGTAGTGACATCCAAATCCTATTTACGTTCTACAGGTGAACTGTACTATTAGTATTCCCAAAACTTGCAGCTAATACACTTATTGTGCATTCTTTAAATATACATATTCTTCATTTTTCCCAGGACAGTGAAAGACAGCGTGCTCTCAATGACATGATGGGTGGAGTTCTAGAAGTCACGCAGGAAGATATCTTGAAAATTGTAAGCTGTGTTTCTGCCATATCATTTAGACAGCTTGTCGATTTCTAAGTAAATGTGAATCTCAACTAGCAAGTATTTCCACTCTGTGTAATAAAAGAAGTTTAGAGAATTGTAGAATTATGTTATTATGTTATGTCTAGGTAAATTCCAGAAGAGGTCATATAGTGGCCTCAAGTATGTATGACTCTACTGCCTGCATTTGGTCATCAACACCTGTTCCTATCACAGTGGAAAACTGTAAGAACATGATCTAGTACTGTCTCTGTAACAACTGTTTTTTGAGGGGGAGGAGTCTATTACCCATGGCTGTGTTTTTACCATGTTCCATTTAACTCAGCAAGGAAAATTATTAGACTAGTAAAGGAAGGAAAGATCATGAAGGAGTGTCACAGAAAACATAAAGGGCAGACTTGTGCTCTCTTCCTAGGATTGATCTCTTTCACAAAATTAGAATTGTTCTTAGAGGTGGAGTTAGAACTGGGAATGTGTACAGAAAGCATATATCTTGTACTGACAAATAGTATATTTGAGTACATCATACTTGTATTGTACAAGATCCACTAGAAAATTCCTGTAAGTAACTAGTGAAGAGCACGATCATATATATGCAGAAAAAGCAACAGAACAGAGAAACAGAACATTCGTGTTGCTTGGATTTACGTCTTGAACCGTAGCTACCAATACTACCTTTTGTTAAAATTGATCTGTATTCTTCTCTTCTAGTGTGCCGATGGAGTCATAATACTGCTTTTGAAGCATGTTTTTCTTTAATACTTTCAGGATATTCCTCCACCTTCCTTTATATCCAAGCCTGAAGATGAATGGAATGATCAAGAAAAGAAAATATTCAGTGAATATGAGGAAAAAGTCAAAGAGCTGAATGAAGAAAAAGAAAAGTATAGAAGGGTAAATTAAAATGAGGAGTGGTTTTGTTAATGAACAATGTTTCTATTTTTGTCAGGATCTGTTTCTAAAATGATACTAATAAATAGAACAAGTGAATAACAAAGATCATGTGATGTATTAAGTAAGTCATAACTTAAACAGTAAAAAAGGCAGTCTGTAGTCATAACAACTTGTATGTACCAAAACTAGTGATATTTGACAAAAGATACTTTTCATTTCCAAATATACCAGTATTCCTAAAATGTTTTTTTTTCAGGTTGTATTCCTGGAGTTGGTGATACAAATGCACAAATAATGTCATTTCACCTTTGAAGTGGTATTTGGCAAAACAAACAAACAAACCAACTATGTAGCCTGGCAGTAATCTCCTTTCAAGATGGAAATGCATAGCTTCATTCCCTCAGACAGCTCTCATTATTGTTAGGATAGATTTAAATAAATTTTACTGCGGTCATCAAAATACTACTTCCAGAATGTAGCTGTTGTTTTAATAAGACAAAATACGGAATCTTAGCTTTTTTTAAATGGTTGTTCAGAGGAATACAAAGTTGTATTTTAGTTTTAAAAAAAATTAAGTAACTTATACATCTTAGTTGCAATGAAAGGGAGGGAAAATATCTTTTTAACTCTTTAAAAAAATGAAAACAAGTTTTAAAAATGGCCATACTTCAAAGGTAAATTAAAATTTTAGTTCAATACTCTGATTTGATTAATTAGAACTATTCTGTTTACTGTTTATGCATTAGTGATATTGGATGGCTCCGGAGCACTTCAGAGCCTTAGAAACTTACAAGAAGAAAAGAAAACCTTTATGTTGGAGAGATACTGTTCTATACTATGCATTCTCCAGCATCCTTCAGTATACTGTATAAGAGTTTGTTCGTTCTTACCTGACAAAACATTTGTTCTTCTTCTGTCCTTCTTTTCCCCAGACACTGAAAAATGAATTGGAGGAACTTGAAGCTTCCATCCAGGAAACAACACAAAACTTTGATAAGACTGTGTGCAAACTCTTTGAAAAGAAAGTGAATTTAGAGAAGGTCGTCTATCAGGTATGGCAGAGAACGTTAGTTTTTCATCTATACCTCTGTGCTGCAGAAACATTAATAATTTTTATTACAATCTTTTCACAGGAAGAACTCAAAATTGTCAATCTCATTTATTCTTTACTGTTGGATGAGGAGTTGGATAGTAGGAAAGCTGGACTTAGTCATTTCCTGGTAAAGAAGCAGAAAGAGAAAGTAAGTTATCATTTGGAATGCTTAGGAAAAATATGTAATTGCAGTACAATTTCTTCTGAAACTGTTCTTTCCAAACCACAATTTTGCTATGACTGATTTTCTGACAATTTATGGAGCAGTTGACATTTTCTTAAGATGTACACAAGACATACATTATAAACACGTATGGTTTTGAGTAGCTAGCTACCTTTGTTCATCTTGCATTCTTTGGTAAAGCTCCATACATTGAAAAGGGCATGCTGTTATGTGTTTGTTATACGCAGTATTTTTTAGTATCCAGTATCAAGCTGACAGGACCAGTAATGATGCTATTTACATTAGAAAAATGCACACAATGAATGCTTAGAGGAATCACATTTTTTGCTGCCTTGGCTAATGTAGTCCAGGGCCACGTGACTTGTATTTGCCAGTTCAAAGCATAGGTAGAGGTAGCATGGATATCTGACCATTGAAGCAGAACATAGCCAGTGTATAAAGTGGTTATAGACTTATCAGTGAATTTCATCTCCTGAAGAGTTTGCCAGTCCTTGCCAAACCATATACCAGTCAACAAAAAGACTGGGGAGCACAAATAGAAGATTTGGATTTCAGAACTACAAGCGCTTACTGCCCACAGCACTGCTTTTGTTTGACACTTGTGATTTTCTGCCAAACCCATCTGACTCATGTGATCTAAGCAGTAGTCTGCAGGGTGGTTCTCTCTCACTGGACAAAGTTATCCCATTTGCCCACTTTGTGGAAGTGTTCCTGAGTCCACAATGCTTCCCCATGTCAAACCTCTAACTCATCCTGTACAGATCTCTTTGATTGGAGCTGCAGGCAGCTGTTTTTATGCCAGCTACAGGGACAGGTTCCAAAGTAGACATCTAGCCCCCTGCCATTGAATAGGATGAACTAGTTTTAAAATTATGTGAAGCAAAAGGTATACCAACTTACATTTTTCAAAATATGTCTTACATTTTAAGTTTGTCTAAATATTGCCATTGCCATTTCTTTTCGTTTATGTCAAATACAACAAAGCAAAGTACAAACATTTAAGCAGCCTTGATTAAACAGATGAGCTTTCAAACAAGGCATTCAAACAGGGCAATTGCATTCCAGAATCAAGAACCTTCTACTGAACAGTGTTTGAGAATTTTTGACTGATCTTAGCTGTGATTACATGAAAGGAAAAGGAAATATCTGTACAAGTAAGAACGAATATCATCATTAGTCTTTATATTCAAAATATAAAAAGACGACTTAGAATACACAATTTTCTCATTTGGGGAATATTCGAATTTCATACCTGCTCACCTTTAAGCTGTATCCACAAATAACTCTCTGAAGAAGGCATTATATTGCTCTTAAAAATGGCTCATAAGGCTTTCTCTAGAATTGAGAAGGTGTCAGTTTCATCAGTGCTTCTGCTGGCTGAGTTTCATTCTTGAAATCCTCTGGTTTTCCTATAGGTCAAGATTGCAAAAACAGTGGAGACTACAAAAAAGAAAATCGAGTTTTACACAGAACAATATGATAATGCAATAGCTGAAGATAAGGTGAGGCTCCAGATAAGCATAGGCAATAAAACAGTTATTGCTGTGTCTTGGTAATGAGAAGAACATGCTGTATTTTAAGTGTAGTATGAGTTCAGTTTTCTAAGCGTACTTTTCCAGAGGAAATCTAGACCATTTCTAAAAGTTTTATATGCATATATTCTCCATCACTACTTAATTTCAGTCATTAATGAAGTAAACTAATATATGAACAAGTTGCTGCTTTTTAAAAAGTCACATTCTGATGACCAGGAAGCTTTCTGTTTACCTCCTAGAATCTGGAATATGGTTTTAGAAAGAAGTTTGTTGATGTTCCTGCTAATCTTCTTGATGAACTTTTGGAACTTTACAAATGTCGACCAAGGTAAGATCACTCTGATTAAAATAGTTTAAATACTAGTATTTCTCATGTTTCAAGAATAAGATTTGGATTACTGAAATAATTAGCAATCAGTAGATTGCCTTCTTTTTATTAGATGGTTAGCAATATTTGATTTCCTATCATACTAACAATTGTTATTTTGAATACTTACGCTTCCTGGTTTACACCACAAAAATGCAATCTAAATAATCATCAGTTCTCATAAACATTCTTATTTTGTGTAAGATGTAGTTTTACCTTTTTTTCTTTGTAAGAAATGAGTATGAAATGTTCATAGTTGTATGTAAGCTTCTTTTAATGTAAGAATGTATGTAACTCTTCTATGTAAGAATAAAAGTAAATACTGTATGTACTGTGTATGTTCACTAGGGCTGCAATGACAGAAATATATCTGGATGCTGCAAGCCGTTCTAGAACTTGTTCAGTCTCAGCTGAAGATTATAAAGATGCACTCACCCATTTAATGAAAGCCATGGATGAACTGGATAATCCTGAGCACATGCCTAATGGCTTAGACCCATCTATATGGGAAAGTTTTTGTCTAGCTAGACGAAATAAATTCAAGAGTGAGCAGCTGGTATGTAAATGCTTTATTTTGCCACTATTTCTCAAAGTATATACTAAAATTTCTGTGGAGTTCAAAAATAATGTTAGGCTGGTGGTGAGGTGAATAGGTAGCATAAATAAGCTGCATCTAATTGGGTAGGTTATGTCTGGCCACTTTCTGTTCAGAGTAACAGAAATGTCAACAAAATAAAGCAGCTCTAGTTCTTCTTCAGAGCAAACATTACCATATTAACATGAGAGGATTTGATAGGTATATTTGTGACCTTGGTATGATTTCATTTTCAAATATATTTCTTTTCTCTCTTCATATTAAAAAAAAAAAAAAAAAAACAAAAAAAAACAATTAAGGGATTTCATTTTCATAATCTTTTGGAGTCTTTGTCTTCCATTAGCACACCATATCTGCACCAATGCATAACCACTTTTATAGCATCAGGAGTAATTCTTAATAGATAAAGATCTAGTGGACTATTTGTTTAGCTTAAAAGCATGAAAGTGGAAATCTCTAATCTCTAGAGACAGATACATATGACAAGACAGAATAAATTATTTTCTGATCAGAATGTAGAACTCTTTGAGCCAGCATAATTATACATACATGTGTCTTCTTCAGATCTTATCTTTTCTCTTCTTGCTTATCCTGACAAACATATGAAGTGGGAAAATTTTAGAATGTCATATGTCGCTTGTTCAGGTGAAATGGATGCCCCTAATTCTGGCAGAAATGAAGGTCTTTCTCCAAAGAAGAATAGATGACAATGAGAAGATGAGCTCAAAAATAGAAAAAATTTTCCAAGAACTCACTTGGTAATTTTGTTTCTTTTCTATATTCAGCTACATTTTAAATTCCAGCATCACAGTCACATGCAGAATTACACAGCTATGTTCTTTTATCTAGAATTCATTTAAAAGAGCTAAGATATTTGAGAGATATGGTGGAACTGCAGCATGTGTGAGCAGGCTTAAGCCAGTCTTACCTTAACATTTTAAATAATGATGTCAGTAAGGATGGCAGCGTGGTCTTCAATGCAAACTCGCTACCCCGAAAGCTGTATTGTACAGTGATTACCAAAAAGCCTTTAAGGCCATAGTTGAGCTAGCTGGTCTAGTTAATTTTTCCTCATGTAGGCCCAGAGAAACCACAGTGATCACTCCTGTTTGCAGTTTGCTGCTCAGTCGCATGACACCTGATTTCACTGAAATGATTTCCATTTTTTATATATACAGCATTTTTCATATTCGTTATCATTCATGAGCAAACCTCAGGAAAAATTACATTAAAAAAAAAAAAAAAAAGAGGTGCTGGCTGAAAAGTCTCCTTCATTTTCTTGGCAATCATTATTAAGATTATTGTTCAGGTAGGGCATTTTCTCTCAGAACATCTGCTAGAGTGTGTTAAACTGAATGTAGGTGTGGAAAACTTTATATGGAAATAAGTTGCCAACTCTGAAGTAATTTGAGGAGTGAATAAAAGACAAGGTGTCAAAGAGTAAGCCCCACTTGAGCATAGCATTTATCACTCAAACATTTTGAAAATCATGGGAGGATTTCTATATTCAAGTTGAAATCATTAAGCATTGCTTTTGTTTTCTGCCATTTTAGGCTGCAGGAGGAGAAGATAAAATTTCAACTGAATTTGACTTTCCAGTTTTTGCTGAAACAAGGACAGGTAGAATTGGAAAGTGCTGAGATCCCAGATTACACTGATGCCATTTTCATAAAAAAGAGTGTTATTGAAGAACTGAATTGCAATATCATGGTAATTTATGAGGGAGGAACCTTAAATTTCTTAAATAAAATATTGTCTTTCAGAGACTGTTTTTTTTTTTTTCTGTAATATCTAGTTTCAAAGCAATAAGGTCAATTGTAAACTAAAAGATGGTGAGAATTTTGTAATGTCTTTTATTAATATATATAGATTGCAACATGGACTGCTTTCTTTGTTTGATCAATACAATTCAGATGAATGAAACAGTTTTTAGACGTAGCATCACTTACACACATGCTGTAAATAGAAAATATTAATATTATGGGCACAAGTCCTAAAATTTCCTTAAGGCAAACATATAGTCATGTTGAACATTAGGTTACAGTAAGATTAAAAAAAAAATACAACTTTTAATATAAGGTTTCAAATATAAGTATCACTTTCACAGTTTTTCATACTCACTAATGTTTTTATTAGGCTTTCTACTATAAGTTTTTTTTTTTACTGCTCCTGCACAAATAACTCAGTAATAACTACAGAATACCTTAAGTGTGTATTTTGCAGAGGTGAAATGCCTGGATGTTCTTATAAAATATAAGAAGATGGAGTGTGATGTTATTTGTAATTTTTGACATTTCCTTCTGTGATCCAAGGCTGTGACATGGGACACAAAAGGGAATAAAATTCCACAAAAGATCGCCATCTAGAGCATCTGGAATTAGTGTATACAATGGCGTATTTTCCTTACTTAATCTAGTAACTTTGGAACCTTGCCCTTGTTGCAAATAATTATTTCATAACCCGTTAAATGTGTTAACTAAGAATAATCTCTATTTTCAGGATCAAGTAGAAAAAAAAATTGCTAGCATGGTGGAATGCAAAGAATTCTCTAAGGGGATATTTCAGCTGGAATGGGAGCACAAGAAAATGAGAATGCAAATAGAAGATCTGAATCAGAAGGCTCAGGATATTGCAACATTACCTATTACAAAAGATCGCCAGCTAGTGAGTTATATTCTCTAAGTTATGTTTTGACCACAGTGAATTTTGTTGCACAAAGCTTTTATCTATTAATTTGGTGGGTTGATACTCTAAAAGGATGAATGTTGTATCTACAGAAACCTGTATACTATTTTTGGCATGCTCAGTGCTTAGACTACTTTATAAATAAAAGTATAGCTTGGTGTTTTGCTGCTTAAAAAAAAAAAATATATATATATATATAGTCTTTGTTTGCATTAAATCATACTAGCTTTTTAACAGCTGTATGGTATAGTATTCCTGCAGCATCAAAGACTATCTTTAAAATGTCCATTTATGATGACTGGTAAGGTTTTTTACTGTAGAAAAAAGTACATTGAGGTTCTTGTTGTTGTTGTTTGTTTTTAAATTTCACAAACAGGCTTGACAAGCTGCTTTATTTGTTTTTAATTCTCAGTTCCTAAACATGCTGGACTATGATAGCCACATTGCCCACCGCATCGCAGTGATGGAGAAGACTCTAGGTGTCATGGATAAGGTAAATCTCTGAAGTGAACCAACTCCTTTCAGAGACATATCCTAACTGTTCTGCTTTAGGAAAAGTGTTTTTAAGGAATGATGGTAACTGATGTAGCCATACTAACTCTTCAGCTAGCTCAAGGACTGTTGGTGCGTAGCCACAACAGTACACAGAGATGAATATATGAGGGCTGATGAATACATGAAAACAATGCTTCCTATGTTATTGTGTTGGTCCATGATGTCAGAGGTGGAATGGCTGAACCTTCCTACCAATAATCTGTTATGTGTTGTTGCCATGGGACAGATGGCAGCAGAGGGGCAATCTGACAGATTGGCATCTGACAGGGAAGTGTGTATAAGCAAAGGTGTGTTGTTGAATTCTTTCACATGGGGAAAAATGGCACCCACTGACATTCATCGATGCTTGCTGAACATTGATGGAGTCCAAGTAGCGGATGTGAGCACAGTGAGGTGGTGGGTATTTGGTGTGTTCAGCAGTGGCAGTAGCAACAGTGGATCACCTCTGCTGGTGCAGATTTTTATGAGCATGGCATGCAGGCTCTTGTTCATCACTGGTGAAAACGCACACCTAATGGAGGTGAATTTGTTGAAGAAGTGTGTTTGGTAGCTGAGAATTTGCCCTATCAAATAGTGCTGTTATGCTCTCTGCATCTGAATTTCCATTGCTTTTGGAGCAACCAGTGTGCTATAGCTACGTGTTTATTTATCTGTCTTTCAATAGTTTCAACTTGTCCTGAGCCATCTCAGCAGCACTATAGCCAGTAGCCAGCTAGACAACCCTGAAGTCTTTGGAAGCAGTTGGACATAAATCTACTTTGTTCCTAGAATTAAATGTCATCCTACTTGAAAGTCTGAATGCAGACCTTTTTATCACTTCTTACAAATCACTATCTATAAAAGTCACTAATCTATTTCTAGTGGTCTCGTTTCAAATCTTCACTGCTTAATATGTCTCTCTAGCAGCAGGTTTGTTCATAGTATCACTGCCTTTCTATATTCAAAATAACACAGCCATAATAACCCGATCTGCTTACTTCCTCACCTATTTTAACACTTAAATTATGGTTATCCTTGTTTTTAAGGGATTCCACTGGATTTTCTGCAGCTTACTGTAAATGACATCAGCTGCCACTTTCTTTAAGTTCCTCTTCAATCTTCAGTATTGACTTTATCACTTTGCAGCCCTTCAGACAGCTTCAGCAGAGCAGCCCTACCTTCCGCAGCATCTGGCAGCCAAAGAGAACTTTCAATGCACTGGTTTCATTGACTTCCTTTTCCTGCTTTGCCTGTTCTGTATTTAACCTTTCTCCTTGACCTATGCATTTTTCTTCCTTGTCTGCTACTTCTATTTGAACACCATAAAGCATACTGAAACACTGTGTGAAAGTAAAGCTAGAATGTGCTACTGGTCAGATCCAAATACATGGAAATAAATTGAGCTAATATGCAGTATTGAAGACTATAGGCTTTCATCAAAAGTTTGAACAGCTTTCATATGATCTCATGTATTTGTTTTATTCATTTGAAAATGCACAGCTGCACAAGAAGAATATGAAGAAACATCAGAAGAGAATTAAAGAGTTGGAGAAGTGCATCAGTTTAAAAGAGCAAGCAAACTATGAGCTGAGCCTTGAGCTGAAGGAAATGCTTGTGTCTGTTTCAGAAAGGAGGCATATCTCTCAGGCAGCTGGTGAGTTACAGTAATGCACTTTAAGTCACAAACAAAGAACATTCAGAAAGCATCTCCAACATTAGACAGTCTTGTTCTCCGTCAGCATCCTAATGGGCAAGGAATGTTCATTTTCTATTTCACATGCATAATTAGCAGTACCTTTTCTACCACGACAATTTTAACATTGTTTACATAAGAACATTCCTACAGATTGGTACTCTTGTAACCAAAGTTGATATCTCTTATTAGGAAAGCTATATAGTTCTTTCCCCTAGTCAAATGGTTAGTTTCACAGCATTGAGTATTTGTTAAAAAATAAAGGAAGTGCACCCAGTGCCTTTTAAACTTTTTTTGCTTTATTTACTACTATGAAGACCCTTAAATCCAACTGTAAGCTTTTTGAAAAACGTGTGTTTATTTTACATAAAAATTGGAATGAACCTGGAGCAAGTCCAATACATTTGTAGATTATGCATCCACTTTATGTATAGGCTGATGCGTATATTGTTTTATGCAGACATGCAGCTTATTTCTGAAAGGACCACAAAGCGGCGTTACCAGGAGATTTTGAAGAAGAAACATCTACGAGGTCTCATAGAGGAGCAGAAAAAACACCTTGAAATTCTTCAAGCAGAAGCTGAAAGATTAAGATCAAAAACATTCCCTATTCTTTAAAAGTCCCAATCCTGGTAGATGTACAAGAATATGAATTTGGAAATCTACCTTCTCTCTCTGAACTTGTCTTTCAGCAACTATTTTCTTCTGTTAACATTTTCTGTTCTTCTATTTCTCATCAAATAACATAACTTCAAAAGATACATGTTTGTTTCATAGATTTTATACCTCATCTAACTTACATTGTTTTTTCTTTTGTGATGCACTTCTGCTGTTTTGATTATATAAACCATATAGCTTATTACAGAAAATAAATGAAAGATTAACTTGTAGAATGATAGGAATATACCTGTTCTATTTCCTTAGTATGCAGCTGCAGGATACTGTGAAGTACTGCAAGAAAGCCGTAAATCTGCATCTGTCAATTGGCCCTTTTCCATGCTTCATGTCAGTTTTTCTCTATCTTTCATTAATTCCCATAAAATCTAAAATTATTCCTCTGTGAGAGTATTAATAGTTTTGATATCTGGATTCAGCAAAATCCTATACCTGTAATGAGAAGTACTTCTGTTTTGACTGCATTACAAACACTTTTGCTTAATCACCTCAGAGGTTTTTAAAGGATTCTAATTACATCTCCATTCTTCCTGCAAGCTTTTTTGCTTCTTGCTGAAACATCCTTAGAAGTAACAGAATTCCAAACTTGCTAAATAAAGGCCTTAGAAAAAAGAACTGCCCCCAAAAGGAAGTCCCATCATCTTGTTTCAGTAAGTTAAAGAGGCAGAAGAAATAATGTATTAATAATAAATGTTGTTCTTTATTAATTCCCAGTGGGCAATGCCACTCAGTATTCCTGAAAGTAAACTGTGGCTACAAACTTCAATTTAATAAGCCCTAACAACATTAAAATAGACTATTTCGTCTGTGATTTTCTTTCCACTTCCCTTGGGCTATGTACAAAATTACTTCCTTATTAATGAGTAATTGCCACATATAAAGAAAATAGTTAAACTACAGCAAATAAGGAACATGGTTGTAGTTAAAAATATTTACAGCAGGAAGCATGGTAGATCAAGTGCAGATCTATATACTGGTACAGTGGATAAAAGGAGGAAAACAAAAGCAGCCAAGTCACCACAATACATACACAGAAATGAGAAAATAAGCAATTTCAAGTTGAAATAATAAGAGTAAAACATTTTGAAAAGACAGTGTTTATTGGAGAAGGAATGAAATGCTGAAGTTTTCTTTAGTGTTACTGCAGAAAGGTAAATTATGCTGTAATTGAAGAACCTTGGAGAGAGAATGCTTCAGCTCTTAAATGAGCCAATACAGTAGACAGATGGCAGTTACAGTTTTCTTTTTTTTTTTTTCTATTACCAAAAGCTGTCAGAGTTCCTCTAAAAACAACTGTCTGAACAAGGATCAGTGCCATTATGAGATATTTCCCTTAGATGTTCTAAATAGCTTTAATTATTGCCAGTTGTAGTTACAGAATATTAACATTAAGTTATCTTTACCTGACTTGCAAAATGCTGTTATTAACTGGCAGCAGGAACAAATTTGGAAGATGAGGATGTATCTATGAACAAAGAACTGAACCCTTGTCCCCATCTAAACATCAACAGAAGTGACAATTGATTTGAACTTGCATTCTGTCTTAAAACCATGAAGACTAACAGGCACAAGGCAGACAGTTGTTTGATTAAAGTATTACTTGATTTCATTTTATTTTAAATAATTCACTGACCCAGCTCTCTAGCCAGTTTTCCAAAACAGTCCAACTAAGTTCAGCTTTTACTATAAAGTAATGGTTTTACAGCCTACCATATCTAAGTACGCAGTTTCACAACTCTCATGAGAAACTCTTACCAAAACAAAGTCCATTGTCTGATCAACACTTCTTAGTTTATCAGTTCAGTCTTTTTTGCTTATGCATGTAATTGAAAGCTTTGCACCAGTAGATTATGCGTCTACAAAATCTTCTTCTGTTCTGCTGTAGTGCAGTAAGTGGTCTTCCAATCCAAAAGTATCTATCAGCTGACTGAGACTCACTTTCTTGCCATCTGCAGAAAAGGCTGACTGCAGCTCATACAGCATCAGCTGGGTACTGCTTCTCCATTTCACTATCAAAGCCTGCAGTTCAGACAGGTTGTTCTGGAATTGAGATTAAGAAAAAAAAAAACAGCAACATTTCTGCAAATGAAAAATGATTGTAGTACCCTGCAGATCTATTTTTATTAAATGCCTTAAACTGAGCTAATATACAAACACTACACAATTAAACGTGGCTTAAATCACTAAGTGACAACACCACTCAATTTCACTTCAAAGAGTGATTTAGAAGGGCTTTCTAGAGGTCGTCCTTACCTTAGATCGGTACATCTTGACCAGTTTGAGCCTTCGAAGCAGCTCTTCCTTCTCTTTCACTTGTTTCATCAGCCTTACTTTTTCTTCTAGGGATTGCTGCTGACTAAGATCAACCCTTACCACATTCTCTGCTGATTCACAGAGATTGTTTTCCTGTAATGGACTTTTGAAATAAGTATTTACAGTGCAGTTTCTTTCCAGGCATTCAGAACCATCTTGTGATGTGGAACAATCCATGTCTATCCTTGGCAGACACCCATTATCAACATCTGCACAGTCTTTTTCTTCAGTATCTACCTTGAGCCGCTTTGCCGCTGTAAAATTGGCATTAAAGGAACGTCTTGTTTTCCTTAATCGTTCCCTTAGAGTTGCACTCATTGGCTGAAGAAAATGAAGAACAAGAAAAAAACACTTTGATCAAATTTCAAAGAACTTTTTTATCCATACAGAATTTGTCATTAGTAAAGACAACTGTAAGACAAACTTCCGAATTGTCACTGTCTTTTGCAAACTTAAAAGTTAACTTTTTCCTTTCAGGTGTGTTTGCACACCTGAACAATTTACTAAATTTACTAAAAATATATATCCTTGTTTATTTATATACGTGTGTGTATAATCCTTAAATAAACCTTCATTAATGCACTTAGTCTTTGTGTAAAGACATGTGGCATATTTCAACTTGGCTATTTCCAGCTAATTCCACTTCTCCTCTTGTTTAACAGATAAGGATTTTATTTTTTTCTTAACATTGCATCCTACCACACACACACTTCCTCTATTAGCACTAGTATAAAACATCTATATACTACTTATCTGAAATTACGTATATAATTTTGACTTGTTCATGCCTTTAAGTCCTTCAAAAACAAACATCTAAAAACAAGTTAACAAATGTATTTATAATTTCTAACGTTTTTATCCATGGAAAAATCCTAAAGCACAGGAAAGGATTAGTTAAGGGACATTTGCAACCTAGCCTAATCCAGCATAACTCCAGTTTATGATACACACTATGACAAGTTTGAGTGCATCACTGTAGTGTGTGGGAAGATAAACACCAAAGCAGAGTGTACTATTTTCAAATGCAAGTAGAAGTCACAGGAGGTCACTTTATGTACATAGAAACCAAGAAAACTAGGACTTGTAAGTTTTTGTACCTGTTTTCCTGAACTAGTCCTCTGTGGGGCTGCTGTCCCAGAATCCTTTGGTGTATGGCACAAAGATGTCAGTTTATCAGGCACTGCTTCCTCCATCTCAAGGCAGGTAGCAGTTCCTGTTGAAAAACAATGAATTGGGTGCTGCTGTTCTCACCTGATTATAGTGAGTGGCTGCAGAAATGAGTAAAAAGCTCTAGTAAGAAATACTAGGGTTTATTTTCTAATGGTTACAAACTGTTACAGGGGAGCAAGAGAACTTACGAACCACTTGGACTTAGTATGCCTCTAAATCAAAGGTCAGATCCTACAACATCAAACTCATCAAAAAGCCTTACTCCAAAGAAACTGTATTTTCTTAACCTCAGCAACCCCTGCTGCGTGTCTGACTCGAAGGCACAACCTTTACAAAGCCAGGTTGTTAAGAACCAGTCCGTTCATGAAGGGCACCCTGAGCAGTGATAAAGGATTGCTGGGAGCCACAAGATTTTTGTTGTCCGTTTTTTGTTGTATGATCAACCTTTCCCATTAAGAATAGTTAACAGGGTACTCAGATGCATGAAATAATCCACTGCCTCGTTGGATCCTTCTGGGGATGCTGCCACACAGCTGGAAATTTAGACGAGTCCACGTTCCCCGTATGCTCAGAACAGCACAATGGCAAGGGCAGACCTCTCAGCACGAGCCGGCTGCACGCTGATTTGGCAGCGTGACTTCGCACAGCACTCGTGAGCCACCACCTAACGACCGAGCTGCAGCTGCAGCCTCAGCTTACCTAAAAACTGTAACTAGGAACCTCAGAACGGAATCCCATTTTAAAACCCCCCAAGCAATCGCGCTCCTCAGAACTGCGTGCCTGCCCTCCCGCTTACAGCCCCCGGCGGAACCGCGCTCGGCAGCTCCCCCCCCCAGAGGCCTTCCACCCTCTAGAGAAGCACGAGGAAGGCCGGGGCTCAGCAGCTCGAAAAGAGCAACCCGCAGGAACCACCCATCGCCGCGCCCCGCGCCAAACAAAACAACGCACGCAACTCCTCACCCGCCCGAGCGCCCCGCCGGCTGCGCTTCAATTTCCCGCTTCCGGCCAGTGGGCGGGGCGCGAGGGGCTGTGCGCCTGCGAGCTGGGAAAGGCGGAGTGAGGCTGCGTGCGTGCGGGAGGGCGCGTTAAGGTTGTGTTTGAGATCGGGTGGGCGGATGCAGGCGAGGCTGGGTGTTGTCGTCGTCGAGGTGCTCGGCGGGGCTGGACTTGTGGAATACCCAGTGCAGGATATCTATGTAGATCCTGCACGCGCTTACTGCTGCCAGCCGGGCTACCTTGCTGTGTCTGCTAGGCCAGCATCGACACGCTGCCTCCTGGCCGAGGCCTCGCTCGAGGCTGGCCGCCATCTTGCTGCACGCACTCCTGCCTCAGGGAGAGGCGTCTCAACATGGCGCGCTCTGCACTGCAATGGTGGGCTGAGGCCCGGCTGGGATTTCAGCGCTGCCAAAGGAGTATCTTTTACATCAGATGCTGTCTCCTCATGGAAGGGGAAAAGCTGCATGTTTCCCCACAGACTTTCGTATTTCACAATACTGATCTATACAATATTTATTTATTCAGCATAGCTGTGCTAGGACTGAAAATGATCAAAAATGGCCGTAGTGGTGATTGCTCCCACCTGTTGTATCAGTCCTTCCCCCTGCATTGGCCACAGCTGAGCACATGGAGCAGGCACAGCTGCATAGTTTATAGATCGTGTCCTTAATTTTTGTAGCAGAACGACAGGGATTTGTTGCCTGATTGCTCCATGCAGCCATGGAGGAGGATGCTGGACTTCCAGCTATGTGGAGACAAGATGCACAATTGCACTGAGGTGAGTAAGCTCAGTGTAGAAAACATGAGCATTTTGATTCTAGGTACGCTCACTTATTTCAAATAGAATTTCATAATGATAGTAGAGCCTTTTCCTCTCAGAACATCAACAGTAAAGGTATCAAAGTATTCACAAGCCTTTTGTGAGTTGATCTGGGAGATCGGAATACTGTTAGATTATTTGACTGTCCGTGTGTGAAACAAATGTTTAGCCTGGTGAAGTATTAGCAAATACATATTTACCAAATGTTTTAAGTTAGGTTATGTGGTTAAACCATATGATCAGTTGCAACTGTGCAGCAAAAATACAATGTAATATCTCCCCTGTTGCTTGAAGCAGTTGTAAGGCATTTTTAAACCTTGGTGTGACCTGATGTTTTTGATAGTTTATTACAGCTAAATTCATGTTGTATATTTTAAAGTATGTTAAAAAAAAAAAAAAAGGTGGACTTTTCAAGTGAAGTAGTGAAATTGCTCATGGAACTTCTACTGCAAATGGATCAGTTCAGTTGAATTTCAAATGCACTGGAGCTTTGAGACAACATGTCTCCTACTTCACAACATGTTTCCTTCTGTCTCAGGGATGGTCCCGTTTTTAAATTACTCATGCTCTGTTGTACAGACATGCTAACAGTTGAGTTGCACAAGAACAGAAAGCTTAAGGTTTTAGATCATTTGCCAGCTGAGATTCCAGTAAGATTTTACAAGAGCATAACACATGAAAAAGTCATCCTCTTTATTATCATTGCTGCCTTATTAAAGCAACACCCATGTGCCCCACCCCAGGTAAGGATTCTAGTAAGCTTGAGACTGTGGATGTAGAAGGGTGGCTCCACATGTAAGGTTCGTGTGTTTAACTTAATGCACAGAGGAGAGAAAAGGAAATTTTATTATTAGTGTTCACTGATGGGTAATCGCTCTAGGAGGAGGTTCTGCTTGAGGTCAGTGTTAAGTGTTCAGCTGTGTGTACCAAGTTTTTATATGGATTTACTTTGTGCTTACGTGTGTGAGGAGTCCTGCAAAAGCATGTGACTGGTTGAGGATCGGAAATAAGGCCAGGGGCTGCACTGGAAGCTGGAGTCATCTCAGTCACTGTCCAGAAATTTATGGCAGAAATGCAGTAGTATTTGATTTCGTGTTATCTACATCTTAACAATGGCAAACAGAAGTCAGACCAACATCTTCCTCTCAAAAACTGCACATCTGTTTCCCTCAAGGAAAAAGAGATTATCCATGTGTTACTATACCAGTATGTCTATGGCACGCTGTGGAGCATTTTGCAACAGTTCAGTTAAGCTCACCAATGTGTGCATACAGTTAAGTATTATAATAGCTGTTGTTTGATTACTTTTTATTTATTTTGTGGTCAGAATAGTTTGAGTTATGCAAAATTAAAGAAAAAATTATAGGAAATGGAGCACTGAGTAATACAGTTAGCAAGATGTGTTTGCTGAGCATACTGCTTCCCTTCAGAGAAACTTGTTTCCATGAAGGACGTCCATGAAAGCTTACTTCTTAGTTTTATTTGGTTTTCCAGTGATGAGGCTTTATTGATTGGATTTTTTCAGTTTACACCATGAACGGCAAACAACTCACCTGTACACATGTTCTCTTTTTAAGGTCTCTTTCATTAGCCTTACGTTTCTAGAGCAGCAGTAGGGCTTGAACATCAGTGCCGACATGACAAGAACATGTTATGGGCCCCTGTGGCATTATCTATTGTAGCGCATCCAAACTGGAGAGTAACAGTGAAGGATACTGACTCTGGGGTTGACCTTTACAGATTCTTATCTTCCAGAGCACCAGAAATTTTTTCAGCGTGCCAGAACTTCCATTGAACAGCTTGTTGGGCGCAACAGTTGTGCCTTTTTTCTCTAAGCATTGCCAATTGAGGTGTTAGCCAACATACTAAGTCTTGAGGCACTTATGCATTGTCCCCTTTTCTTATTTTTTGAAATCTATTGATCTTGCTTAAAGCCAAATGATGTATCCTGACACATGAAGTATTCTGCACTGTCTACATGTTTTCTCTTGCCTGAGGCAGCAGGGTGGAGTGTTTTTGAGCATCCAACCACTAACTGCTGCAGAAATTTTTCAGTTCCTACCCACTTCAGCACAGGCCTTGGGCTGTGTTTTTACTGGCTGCAATTCACTCCTCAAAAATGTTCCGACTTGTTTATAGCTGTTTAAACATTTTAAAGGAACGGCTGCATAGATTCCCAGAGTAAAACCAGTTTAGACTACAACAGAATTTGACCTTGAGATATAGATTCTGCACTTGTAATGGTGCAAATGTCCAGTAGTTACACTGAAGTCACTAGAATGTCATAAGCATAAAGCTAAAGCAGGAGTAGAATTGTGCTGCCTTTTCTGCTGTGCAAGTTGGGGCTTGTTTGGACAACCCCTTATTTTTCCCTTCCATTTTTAAGGTACCTGTCTTGAAAGGAAAAACTGAATTAATTTATTGTAGCTGAGAGGTACTGCAATTTGCCAGTACAAATGATAATAATGTAAGAGCCAAACTGAGTTGGTCTTCCTAGTTCTTGCTGCTGCATGCGAGAATAACCAAGTGGGTGAGGCGCAGAGCTAATAAAAGGGAACAACATAAGAATGTCTTTTATTTTTGTTTCATATGTGGGATTTTCTCTGACATAGTCCTGCCAAAAATTACAGTGTTTGAAGTCTTTATGAGACTAGCAGGCAGTGAAAGGAAACAATAAACAGACCTTCAGTCTTCTTGTCTTCGGTGGAGAACTGAAAGATCATTATTTGAAGAAAATTTAAGCCTTTTAAATTTAAACCCGTGCCCAGACTAGTACCTGGTACAGCTTTTTGTCATGTGTGATGGTCTAATCATATCTTCGTGTTGAAGGTATTGGATGTTGTTGTTCTTAAGGAACATGCATCTCTCTGTCCTGTAATGCTCGCTCAAGGTAGTTGTTAAATTGGGCTTGCTTACATCCTGGTGTAAAAAGTCTGTTTCAACTTCTAGAATGAGATTGGAGGGGAGAAGTTCTTGGAGAAATTGTGGGTGAAATCTGGCTTGATCTTGGTGTCTTAATGTTCCATGTCTTAAGTAACAGAGGTTCTTGCAACTTACTCAGCTGTTACTGGGGAAAAGTAGACACCTTGGTGTTTGGCAGAACACAGACTTCTCTGAGGGAGACAGACATCGCTCAGTTGAGCAGAGTCACTGGAAGCTTGGCTGAGGCATAGTAAAGCCAAAATTCAGAAACTGGTAATGTCTATTTTTCTACTGCCTGGCATTGCGGTAGTTAACCTGAATGTATTTGCATGACATGGGTTGTAATGGAGTTTGAAGAGTTGCTTCTTTTTCTGACATCCTTGTACGTAAGTTCATTTCATGCTGTACCCTGTAAACTAATAACATTTACCTGTGCTACTGACTGGTGAAACTAAAAGCTCAGACATTACTTGATTGCTAGTATAGATGGAAATAATTTGAGATCTGTTACCCATAGACTGCGGGGCTACAGGTAACATGCACTACCCACTAGATGCCATGCTGGGCTGCCAATCAAGTGCTGCAGCAAGCAGGTAAGCACAGGTGGAGATGTATACCTTGCATTCTTCCTGAACTCCTTGGGGTCTCACTGTGGCTCTGATTGTAGACATCAGTGATTCTTGTCTATTATCACTTCATCAACATCCCTCGTTATGGTTTGTTGTAGAAAAATATCCATAATACTGAGCCACACCTCCTTCCCTCCCAAACTGCTGTGTCAGCATGCAGGATTTGGAAATACACTTCTTCCATGTTATTAAGAAACAAAATAACTAATTTACCTGAGGCTATAGAAACCCTTATGAAGTAAAAACTTAGAGATGTTTTCCTAAGGATGAAATATGAATGAGGTGTGCAGAGAACTTTGCATCTTTGGACACCGGTGACAGTAAAGTGCCATTTAATTAGCTGAGGTTTCAGAGTGGCAATGCTGTCAAATACATAACTGCTTATACTGCAGACCAGGCTCAGAATCTAAAATACTTGTGGGAGAGCTGGTTGAAAGGATTTTTTTGTTTGTTTTCCTGTTCATACAGTTAATAACTTACTTGATAATTGAAGTATTATTATTGTTGTAATTGATGGGGTATGGCTGTTTATTATTTGTGCAAACAAAATCCCTTCTGAGCAGAGCTAAATTAGAGAAAAAAAAAACAAAACATCAGCAATTGTGAAAAGGTGGGAAACACACTTTTTAGTATAAAGATTGAAGCAAATTCTTTCAAAGTCAAAAGA